CATGGAGCGAGCTGACGTCACCAGTTTGAAGCGCGAAAACGGCACCTAGTTTCTTCGATCCCAAAGGAGCGAAGTAAAGCTGATGGATTTCGCCTTCGGTTCCATTGGCTGGCACGCGTCGACGGGGCTCCCATTGGCCGCTGCGCTCGTCAGTTTCCGCGACCGCTCACCCCATGGCGCTGCGTGTCCATCAGCGCGCCGTTAACAGGGAGCGTCCAAGGTCAGCGTGGCCAGGGGAGCACGCGCGCTGACCGGCGACGAAAAGTACGCAGCAGACGAAAAAGGGAGCGGACGAGCGGATTGAATGCTTTCGCATTCACAACTCATAAGGAGTGCTTAGGTGTATCTCGAGCTTTTTTTTTTTTTTTACAGCGGAGCTATTAAGGGGCTAGTTTCCCCAGGATCGTGTCCGCTGGATTAGAAATGATGACACCAAAATCTCGAAAGCTACCGCCATCTATGAGCGACGGCGGCAACCAGACAACTGGTTGCCGCCGTCGCTCATAGACGGCGGCAACCTTTCTTTGGAGGAAGAAGAGCGGGAGCGGAACGAGCGGTGACTTACGCAGCAGCGCGAATGGTTCCGCAACCGCTGCGAAGCCGCTATCGCCTCAAGTTCCACTGCGTCGAGCGCTTCAGATTCCGTTGTGAAAGAAGAGCAGATCGCTCGCCTGGAAAGCCACCGCCGAGAACAGAAGCTACAGCTTCGTTGGTCTTCCTTCTTCAGCAAAATAAAAAAAACAAAGTTTTTCTTTTCATTTTTTTTTTGTTGTAATTTAGCGTAGTTTCTTATGGAAAGTTTCCTCCGAAACGACAAGTTTCAAAATAAGCAAAAAGAAATATCGGTGAACCTCGAAGCCATCTTCTCTAACCACTGAAGGCCCATACGCACATTCGCGTTTGAGCGCGGTGCGTTCCGTAGCGGCAAGCGGACGCGTTGCGTTGCGAAGAGCGCTTGCGCCAAACTTGTACGCACAGTTGTGTTGACACGCAGTCAACCGCAGTCAAGAGCCAAAAAGAACGCGCTCCGTCGCCAGTGGCTCACCAATAGTAAGCGAAATCCAAGGCAACATGGCGGCACACAGCGACAGCGTTGAAGTGTTCGATCTTGGGACAATCCCGCCGGCTTCCCCGCCGTTTTGTCCAGCTTGAACCATCGCAGCCTTGGAAAATACACTCCCCACCGCTCCCCAAAACGAAAAATCAAGTTCTGCGGGCGGAGAACCGGATACGTCTCGCGGGGTCGGCCGAGTGGGGCGAGCGAACACGTCACCCTCCTCTCCTCTCTCGGCTTCTGATTGGTCGAACGCACCGCAACGCTTCGGAAAGTAGAGCGAGTAGGGAGTTTTAGTAGACCGTGTTTCCCGCTCCGCTAGCCCTCCGCTACGAAGAAACCGCCACTGCGCCTGGAAACGCGTTGAAACGCGAATGTGCGTATGGGCCTTAACAGGCGTGTCAAGGAGCCGGCTCTTGAGATCCAAAAGTTTTCGAGAGGCAGTAGCTGCAAGAAACTTCTCTGGAGCCTGTGTCTGATCTGCCAGTGCGAGACAACACTTTTCCTGCCTCTGAGGTATGACCTATTATTCTTAGCTCAGAGTAATACGTCAAAATGTATAAAAAAAAGTTCTTAATTAGTCGACAGAGACACGGTACTGTATAAATAAAGTTGTAGACTTGATCAAACAAGTTCATAGGGACGCGGAGTTATTATTTTCATCTTTCCAATGGACGTTTACGCGACCCTGCTCAACGTGCGCGACACTTATCATTTTCCCTAATCGTTCATTGCCTTGCGTTTCGTACCTCCTTGTGAGTGATTGACTATTTCCGAAACAGCCTCTGATCCACAACCGCATTCGCTTCATTTCCACCCAGTGAAACCCTAATTTTCTAATCATCGAATCTACAGATACAAAAACCTTCCAATATATATATTAAAATGAACGATATTTGTATTTTATAAGTTGGTGAAACATACATATTGCCGTCATTGTCGTCGCCACTACCACTATCGTCATCTATAGTCAATATATCATCATGATTAGGGGCCTCATGCATGAACAGCCTAAGCCCAGGGCCCCAAAATTCCTTAATCCGGCCCTGGTTTCAGGACTGGACGCAGCTGTGAACTGGCACTGGCTACCGTATAGTGCGCACACTCAGCAACTATCTGTGCAACCGAGTCGCCTGCGAACTTGCACAGTTCCATTTTAGACAAGCCTTCGACAGGGTCAGCCGTGGCATTCTTTTTCACAAACTGTGGAACATGGGCATCAGGGGCCAGGTGCATCAGTTCCTGTCCAGTTTTCTGCACGACCGCAGCCAGTGAGTTGTGTTCCGTGAGCCACGTCCTGCTGACGTTCTATCCGGTTTGTCCCAGGGCAGCGTCCAGAGCCCGACTCTGTTCAATGTCTTTGGGAACGACTTAGTGCTCTGCTTGAAATCTACCCCATTTCTCTATGCCGATGATGTCACATTCCCACAACCTGTCTTAGGCACTATCGGGAGTTGCAAGAGTACCTGGACCGTATACACCAATGGTCACTGTTAAACCGCCTACCGCTCAATTCTTCCAAATGCCCTGCCATACTGCTCGTCTCCCACAGGGAACAACCTGATGAGCAACCGACACAAACCATTGCTGGCGACGCCCTCCACCGCAGTCATCGAACGAGACTGCTGGGCATTACGCTCGACCATTGACTCCAGTTAACTACACATATCAACCAGGCGTTATCGAGAGCCAGGAGGATGCGGGGCTTTATCACTCGGGTCTTTAAGGATGCCGGAGCCGATACCCTCGAGAACCTTTTCACTGCGCTCGTTCTTCCTCGGCTCGAGTACTGTTCTTCAATATGGAACCCCTCACAGGTTAGCCTCGTTGCATCACTGGAGAGTGTACAACGTCGTGCTGCATACGCTGTCCTGTGCATGCAGAGGCCCCCCACCTCGCCCTTCCTGTTACAAAGACACGCGGACTCCTCTGGCCCTCTGACGGAAAATGGCGTCCACCAGGCTGCTTGCCAGCATAGCCTGCCCTGACCAGCGTCCCCCTCCCCAGTTCGATTAAGTGATGGCGCTCTTCAACCCCTTTTTTCGCGCACAGAGCGTCACCGGCAGTCGCATCTCATCTGTACTGTTCAGATATGGCGCCCACTGGCAGACGCGCCGTCAGCCAGCGTCCTGAAAGGCGATATGAATGTAAAGGAGTTCCCATAGGGACGCTGTGCGTTCCCTCCGCGCTTTCTAGACAGCCACGCTTACTTCCCTCCTTCTGATTTCAGTTCAATTCTTATTTATTTATCCGTGTTTGCTTATGAGTGTGTGCCGCGTGTGTATAATGTCGTGCCTACTCCATCGTGTCGTGCCACAGACCTACGGGTACGGGCCATTGGCCTTTTCTGGTTACCAGACTCTCCTCAAGAGTTAAATAAAGAAATGACAATATCAATATTGCGTACCCAACCTGGGGCCTGTAAGCGCACACATGTGCACTTACGGGGTTGCCTTCAAGTTTGAGGATGGTGCAGTGCTGCTACTAAGGGGCCATAAGTTGCTTTTTGAATTTCGCCGCGTTTTTCCAAGCCACTCGCAACCTCAAGTCACGTGATAAGCGTCACTTCCGATTTCTCGCTTCCGGTTTTCGCAGAGGAACTTTGGCGCCCTCTTGCGGCGTAGGCGGAAAACGCTGAAACTCAAGGATCAAAAGATGGCGGTGGGTTGTTGTGGAAGATTATAGCCGCTCTAAATGTTCACACGATTCGATGCTTCTCAGGTGAGCCAATGCAACTTCTCTGAGCGTTCACACTCATCTTCACGTGCTGTCTCGTCCTCGGAGGAATCTTAAAGCCGACCGGATGTTCAGTTTCGCTTGGTTCAATGACCGACGGCTGCACTTTCAGTGTTTTGGCTCTTGTGAAGCCTGCGATTCGCGAACTTTTTAGCCGTAATTTTCTATTTCGTTCGTAGTATCCCCGAACGCAAAACCTTGCCCTTCTCGACAATTGACGTTGAAGACCGAAGCGTTCATGAACAACGTCAGTCGGCCCCTTCGACGACTACGTCCCGAAAGTTGCCAAGTGACAGACGTCGCGATACGTGCTTTGAATACACGATTTTGCGCAGTGCTTGCTTCGAATCTTTTCAGCGAAGAACAGCGATTAACATGTCATTTGATGTCCGAAAAAAACTCGTGGCAAATGATGCCTCGTTGCGTCGAGCAAACCGTTCCCCTTTGCTTAATACAAATAAAAGACAACGTGACCCGATTGGTATCTGTGCTCGAGGAAGTCATTCAGCAAACAAGATATCCTTGAAAGGATCGAGGACAGATTCTTGGTGTCTGCCTCGTGCGCTCGTTAACGATACCATTTTAATCTTTTCGAGGATCGAACTGCTCAGAAGCGGATGCATTTGTGACGTCTGCTCAACTAGTCGCCTTTCGACTCGTCCACATGCGCGGCCTTTCGAGCCGTCTCCAAACTCCGCCTGTCTAGTCGTCTATAAACGTGGCCTCGTAAATTGTTCGTTGAGGCTGCCTGCCAACTCTTCGAGTCGCATTCCGCATCGTCTGCTAACGTCGCTCTCCAAATCAACTGCTTTTCCGAAGTTTTTTTTTTTTTTTTTTTTTCGTGTTTGCTGCACCGATTTTTTTGTTTGCTGCAGCAGTCAAGTTTGAGGAGGTTAGTGGACCATTTGTTTTCCCTTCCATTCGGAACAGGTCTGTCTTTGTTTCCATCTCAGTTTTGTTTTGTCGTGTAGTCAGTGTCCAAAAGAAGCAGAACCTCGAGACGTGGTCTCGAAGAGCACTTTTTACTTACGTGCCAAAAATAACCAGTGTTGTGATTTTGTCAGTCCTTCGAAGTTGGCCATCTCTGTTCCCGACTCTTGGCCTGCACCGTAAACTCTGCTGTCCCATGGATCGTTTTGCAATAACAGTGGACTACATTGGCAAATCAAAACTTTCTCGCTTCGTATGCCATATGCTGTTGTATCGATGCAAACACCAATTAAATACGGTCTTTGAAGTGGCTCTGAATGGTCGTTATTATCTTTGGGCCTCGAATGGCTGTGATTCATGATAGATAAAGCTCCTCGCAGCAAGGAGGTTGTAAATATTTTGGATATCTGTTATCCTTGTGTGCGGAGCTGCCATTGTACTCACCTATACTCCTGTGAGAAGCGTGCGACAAGACAGTGGCTCTCAACTCCATGCGCCGCCGATCTGACGAGGGAGCAATGTGCTCGTTGGGCCAGTTTCTTCCAGTGATCATTCATGCCCACGCAGAGCTGTTCGATGTGCTGATTAGTGAGCACTTAGCTCGCACCGTACTGTCAGCTTAGGGGTGAGTGTACTGGGACCATCTCGCATACATCCTGTGGGGCAGCCGACGGACAGTGAGCATGGCGTGTGCAGTGAGTGAAATTCTCTTATCCCACCTGCTGCTTCATCAGCTGTGGGAAGAATTACGATAACTGTCCGTTAAGACCGACGTTTCTCAATTCATCAAGCGCGACCAAGCCTTCAAGATTAGCGAAAGCGGAGAAAAGTATTTCTTTCCCCGACGCCATCAACGCCCGAACCATCAGTCCATGGTTTTTAAATGGTGTTGGCTTGCCCAAGCACCGTGCTTTACAAATTGTTTGGGTGTGCAGTTTTACACTGGAGCTGGGAATCAAAAACACCAGCCCCCTCCATTTGCTTGCAAAAGCAATAAAAACAGCAATAATGATCTCATTTCTAGTAGGCCTACTCGATCTGCCAACGAGCAAAGAGCAGTCTGATAAACTAGGAGCAAAAAATGCTTCTTACGACAATTTTAGCAATCACTGGCGCCGATGAATATTGTCCCTCAATAATTTCTGGGCTGTTAAGCACGCAAGCACTTTGTAGTAGCATATTCTAGCACAGCATCACCAAACTCGAGTGAAGATAAGCGAGAAACGTGACATAGTGTTCCCGCGTTTACTGCAGAGACGATTGAACCACTTCACGTGAGAAGTCGTATAGGCGACGTTGGGTGTGGGTAGGTTATGGTCTTTATACTCTGGACTGGGTTGGAGAAAATTTGAAAACACATCTGCAAGCAGCTCCAGACACATTAGAAAGTGGAGGAAGCGGGCAACGCTCATATGCAACAATACCGGCATGGATGTCAGTGGGGCTATCAAAGTAGAGCACTGTGCCACCTTGAGGTGCAGCTCTCCATGGTGGCCAGAAAAATGCCTAAGGACCTGCTCTTAAAGGGGTCATGAAACGCTTTTCCAGCTTTTTCCTGTTTCGCTTTCCTCCTCAACTCATAAATCGCGCATTCCACCAAACAGTTAAAGAAGACGAAAAGGGGGAGTCCCCTCTTGCTCGCACTCTCGTTTGTATAATCCCGGACACATCCATTCTCCCCCTAGAAGATTAGCCCGTCGCTCAAAATTCAGACAAAAGTCGCTTTCCCCACCCCGTTCATTCCGAAGCTGACTGTGCTGTTGAAGCTACGTGCTCGTTGGGCCAGCCACACTTGCCACGTGAGCGTGGCAAATGTGGCTGCAGAGAATGAAGTCAGGTGATGAAAGGGAGGCGGCTGATTGGTCCGGCAAGCGCGTAGCTTCCACCACAATGTCAGCTTAGGGGTGAAGGGAATAGGTGAGGTCCGGTTGCGTGTGACGTCAGTTTGGACCCGATGACGCGCTTTTGGGACCGCGGATGTATCACAGTGAAAAGGCAGAGAGGTTGCGAAGGGGAGGAGGTACGAAATAGTCCGCTCTGTTTTCAAATTTTCGCACTGAAAGTCAGGCTTTTGACTTTCTACCTTTTTTCTTTTGGTCCACTGAACGATGTGCTATTAGTAAAATCCCAATCTAAAATGATTTATCCCAACCCAAAAATCGTTTCATGGGCCCTTTAAAGTCTTGTCTCCAGGGCATGGTACTAATGTCAAGTTGAGAGACTGGACTGTCAGGGTCACTTTTGAGGCATGGTACCCTGTGCTTCCATTGCCATTGTACTCTCGTTCTGCTCCCAAGGAAGCAAAGAAATTTCTGGAGCATTTTTTTCTTAAAATATTGTGTTCTTAATTTGGTACCACTTACTTGCAAGGCAGGAGGGTCTTATTACATCCTTATTAATTGCGGTACTTCTGTACTTTAGACTTCTGCTCCTCCTGGGCACTTCTATTGGCACTCTAAACTGCAAGTTTTAGTTTTTTCATTTTTTTATTTTATTACCCTTAAATCGCCCATTTCTGGGCTTTACATAAGGGGGGGGGGGGGTACAAAATAATAATGAAAACTTGCATAAATACAATACAATTCAACAACTGGCACACAAGTCGTGCGCTTTCAGCGCATCCTTGAAATCATCCGTATTTACTAGAATAACAATGTCATCAGGCAGCTTGTTCCACAGAGCGATCGACAGTTGCAGTGGTGAGTACTTGTATCGATTCGTTCATGGCGTGGATAAATGAAGTTTGCAACAATTGAGGTACCCTTGCACGGTACGCTCTGGGGGTTCTGATGTATTTCACTTAACCCTGCGAGTGCCTGGTTATTTTTCCCGCATGCCATAAGCAAATTTTGGTCTTTGTATTGCGGTAGTATGCTCTGTGAAGAATGTTTATTTATAAAAGGTGCACTATTTCACGAGCAAAACGTTTATTCACGTCCGCATGCCTCCAACCTACGACATGTTTCTCATATTGTACTTTCCGAGATATGGTACTACGGATTAGCACATGAACCTTGCACTTTGAGGTCCCTCTTTGCAGCAGCCTTGCTCGGTTTTCGTTTGGTTGGGACTATAACTTCTCGTTTTCCCAATCATCGAACACCGAGTCCGTTTGCAATTTCTAGATCCGAGTGTTTGCCACGAAGCGAGAATCTGAAGGACACAGATTCGCCATTCTGTGACAATGAAAGGGCTTTACCGAAAGGGGCTCCCCAAAACATTACGTGCCAGGAAAAAGTGACCTTGCAAGATAAAAGGCTGTTTTCATCGCTCACATACTCCGTTTCACCTTACGTCCGGGCGCCAAGAGCTATCCTAGCCAGTCCCTTTCTGTGGACGTAGCCCGTGATACTCTTTCTGCGTGTCGCTGTGCCCCCTCTTCAAGGTCATGTGACACTGCACGGCCTTGGATTGGCTCGGACGTGAGGTGAAGCGGAGTGTAGACCGGTGGGGCAGGGAGTGGGGCTGAGGGGGCCGGGGGGCGCGTGCCCAGTGGCGAGCCCGGAGGCTGCCCCCATGTACCAGTCGTGCCTGAGGCTGGTGGACCGGCTCCTGCGCAAGGACCAGAAGCCAGGGCGGCCGGGCCTGGCCCCGCCGGTCTACCACGAGCGCCAGGTGAAGGAGCTGTGCGCCCTGCACGCCCTCAACAACCTCTTCCAGGACGCCTCCGCCTTCTCCAAGGGCTCCCTGGACGACATCTGCCACAGGTTGTATGTTGCACCACGTTTCCTCGGGTGGGGGAAGTACACCGGCTAGCCCATGTTGCCCCATGCACCCTCGCCATGGGGCAGGGGGGTAAAGACTGGAGCAGTAAGCGCCAAATCGAGAGAAAGGGAGCGACAGGAATGCGGAGAAAGAAAGACCGTAGGTTAGGCACATTCGGTTTGCCAGCTCTAGTTGTTAGAGTGCTTGTCATTGTTTGTCGTTTTTATACGCCGCTTAACGCTGGTGTTTTTGTGGAAATTAGGGCTAGAAAAGGCTAGATATACATACCTTGGAACCGATGCTTTCCTACATTGCGTATATTGAAGCGTCACCAGTGATACGTCGGGACCATCGTGGGACCACCGCTATTTATTTATTTATTTATTTATTTAAAATACCCTCAAGGCCATTGGCATTACAGAGGGGAGTGGGGGTTAGTGGCAGTAGTACACTTCGCAGCTCAATCTGAGCAGTATAGATTATTTATGGCAGTCCTAAATAAATGGTCAGGAACAATTGTTGCGATAGATGCGGGAAGGTGGTTCCAATCCACTGAAGTTTTTGGAATGAATGAGTCTTGGAATGCATTAGTGTTGCATTTTAGAATGTCTACTTTATACATATGATCAATGCGAGGTGAAATATAAGAAGGTTGATTCAGCAGTCGGTTGTGAAGTAATGAGTTAGTACGGTGTATCTTATGAAAAAGACATAAGCGAGCTATTTTACGCCGTAAATTGAGGTTAGGCAACAATAGGCTAGTTTTCATTGAGCTCATGCTTGCGGTGCGATGAAAGTTATTAAGAATAAACCTCACCTCTACGTTCCGCCGTTCTGGAACGGCCAGAATCCGTGGGACCTTTCGCTCCGGGTTATTATATTAACTCTATGAGAGGGAGGGCCACATGGGGGGTTGTTGCTTTTGAGAACCCGAGTTGCGATATGCCGGCTAGGCAGCGCTAGCCTTTGCCGGAGAACTGTGCGTGTCGTCGGTGACACGTTGGAAGTGACCCGTGTGGTCGCCACTGGGACGCCACGATTGGTGTAAGGGAAGCAATACAGTGGCAAATGGTGGCAAAAAGGAAGCGACATCATTTCAGGAGCATTTTTTAGGCTCGTTCGATTTACCTGCACTGGTGCAGAAAAGTGTAGGGTGGTGAGCTTCCAGTCGTGTCTCAATACACATCCCAGAAGTACACTGCCCTACACTTTTCTGCACCAACGCAGGAGGGGCAGGTGAATCGAATGAGCCTCGTGTTTTAGCTGCATTAGTCTGCCATTCACAATGTCCTTGCCAATCGGCAGCTCCGGCGTTCTTTAAATCGGCTGTCTGCCAATGGGGATGGTGGGGAACTTTGGAGAGAATTTGGAAAGGCGTAAAAAGTTTCTGGCGTTTTTAAGAATTTTTGTTGAAGCTGTAAAGCTGAATGTGCTAGTATTGGCGGGGTCGCAGAAGACATACAATTTGCCTGATGGCACGGCACTTTTAGTGGATTCGACAAATTGGGCAAAATTTGCAGGAAACTCCAGCGAGTCTGCCACGAGTGGGGAATCTTGGCGAACCTGCAGAAGTGAAGGAATCGTCGGCGATCCTGGGTGACCTCCGTAAAACAGGAAGCGAATTAGTCGGACGTAGGAAAGGACGGCGTTCTGGCGGACCTCGAGCGAGCCTCCCAAAGGCACCAAATTGTGCGGTGAAATTCGAGGGGAATTGTTGGAACCGTTAGCCAGATGGCAGCCAGCCTTGAGAAGGTCTTGGACCATGTTTTGCCCGGGTCCGGAACCACGGCTCAGTTTTGGGCGTCTGCGACCGGTGCCTTTAACCTCGGCCAAGAGAGTGGTCTCTCTGCCCGATGATGTTATAAAAGTGTCACACCGATCGAGTCAAGGGTGTGAACGCGGCTCTTTTCGCCTTTTCTGCGACTACCATCGGGTGGGGAGGAAAAGTAACGCACGTTGGGTCGTAAGCAGTACTTATGCGAAGTACCATAATCGTTGCACAGCTTCTTTAACGATGCCAGTGGCCATTCCTGCCCCTGTGGCGCCGCTCCCCTCTCTTGCCCCTGTCCGTGTCGTCCTCTGCGCCTTCGGCGTGTGCATGCGGAACGTGTCTTGCAGCCTGTCCCCCGACCACCTGGTGAACCCGCACAAGAGCGTGCTGGGCCTGGGCAACTACGACGTCAACGTCATCATGTCCGCCCTGCAGCTCAGAGGATACGAGGCCATCTGGTTCGACAAGCGCAAGTCAGTGCCCACCTTCCTCACTACTCCCTTCTCACCTTAAAAGTGCTCTCCGACGGTCGGCAGTATTCGTTAACCGTCGGGGTCGTACAAGAGAAGTTTCTTTCTTTTCCGATCTGCGTGCAAAAAAGGGAGAAATTTATGGCTTCGCTAAACAGGATTCTGCAGCTCAATCTCCGTTCTGACAAGCAGCTATTCTCGTCGCTCTTCAGAATGATGTTTGCCCGAAGGAGCGTATGAAAAGAAGTTTCTCGCAGTTGCCAAAAAATCGGAGGGAAGTGTGATTTGCCGGCCCGTGTTCCAGGGACCCGACCTGCATTGACCTGTCCAAGATTGTGGGGTTCATCCTGAACGTGCCGAGCGAGATGAAGTTCGGCTTCCTCCAGTTCCCGCTGAGCCGCAAGCACTGGATCGCCGTGCGCGAGGTCGAGGGCACCTTCTACAACCTCGACTCCAAGCTGGAGGCGCCCTCGCCCATCGGCAAGGTGGGCGGCCTCTCCCGCGCTCCTTCTAAACGGTAGACCCTTTGCAAAAGCGTCTAGAGGCCGCCGCGCCAGTCATCCGCCAAAGCTTTCGCACATAGTACTACTCTGGCAGACGCAAATGGGTTGCTCGATGCATTCCATCATTGGGGCGTCCCAGCCCCCGGCTGCCGAAGAGGAACGGGTGTTTGCCGCTTCCACCGCTGTGGCAGGAAACAGCGCAATCATGTCGTTGTCGAGCGTAAACCAAGGTCCCCTCAGTTACGCCCAACAGTATTGGTTGGAGATGCGTTCCAGGCACCACAGTTCCCTCCAACGAGCGAGTCTACGTCTAGCCTATTGCTAAGCGAGTCATTGAGCTTCCAGGCTGGACGGCAGTAATGCAGAACTGTCCATAAATGGACTGTTTAGAGTCCTCCCAGCGCTATCGATAGTATAGAAAAGCTATGGATAGTAGTGTCGATAGTCCACCATCCAGAGTCAATTATCGATTGTTGGCTCTCAATAGACTGCCGATAGTCAACTTTCAGAAAGAGAATGCGACGGGAGCGGTCGACCAAATGTGTCCGCTTGCGTCGCCTCGACAACAGAGGACTCGTGTACCGAATCTCACACACTGTACCTTCGCCGAGAAATGTTCGCACGTCACTAGCAGCAAGTTGCCGACAATCGTTCCTCACAAACCGTTTGCGACGTGCACCTCCCGTAGGAGTGCAATATGGTCCCGCGTCCTCGCGTTAAAAATCGCAGTCGGAAGGATGCCACCGACATCACGCTCACTTGGGACGGTGGCTTTGGAGCCACTGTCTTTTTTTAACTTTGCTCGTCTTGCTTTAGCCGATTTAAATCCCTCCTGGAAGACCGCAAAAGACTGTACGTGCGCAATTTCCGAAAATTAGCGTACGCTAAAACGGCGCTTGCAAGGCGCAAACTGCAGTAAGCGTTTGACGCATGCACAGTGAAGACGATGCTATTCTTTACATGCGCAAAGCTTTAGCATGCGCTATTCTGAAGCTCCCTACCATATATAGTTTGATATTGCTTACACTATGGGTAGTGTCGATGATAGCCTCGCTCTACTAGCGGACGGACCTGGAACCCCCGTTGCAGGCCCCCGAGCTGTTGCAGTACCTCCGGGAGCAGGTCAAGTGCAAGGACCGCGAGATCTTCGTCGTGGTCACGCAGGAGATTGGGAGGGTCAAGGGCTGCTACCAGGACGCCAGGTCGACGCCTCCGCGGCAGCAGCAGGCGCCACCTTGCGAACGGACCGCGCAGTGTGCCCAGAGCCCGCCCCGCTCCGGACCCAGGCAGAAGGAATGCGGCTGCTGAGCCTTCGAAGCAACGCCCCCGTTGCCGCGCAGTGATGTTGCGCGACGGCCGTGGAACGATCGCCGTGCGTCGACTACAGACGTTCTCGCATTCCTCTTTTCGTCCCCGTGATCGACTACACCGACGCTCTAGGTCGTCCTGCGAGGATGGGAACGTTTCTTTGCTTGCGTCTGCCCGCGTTCTTTGGGCGTTTGGTCCCCGTCGTGCACCTTCGAGAGTGCTCCCACCGTGAGCCGTGTGCCATTTTTGCTCGCTGCTTAGCTGCGGTGGAAACCACGTGCTCCCTGGACTAATCTTGCGTCTCTTTCGCCACGTGATCACGCTCCTGCCCACACCTGCGCGCAGGTAGTGAGGTCAGCGACGAAAGGGAGGCGGTCCATTGGTGCTGCCAGCACGTAGCTTTCACTGCAATGTCAACTTGACGGGGATTGGAGTACAGCCACTCGCGAGTCGTCTCGAAGACATCGTCCGCGAGCCGTCTGCTATTCGTCCGAGGCGGTGGGGACGCGTTTGGGACGTTTCGTTAAAATGCGAATGTGATGTACAGAGATCGGGATGTGGTCGCGCCCCGTTACTCTTTTTGTATATCGATTTGTCCGGAGAAATGTGGAACCCGCGCGAAGGCGTAGAATTTTAACGTCACATTCGAATTGCTCGGCGCGTCTCGGTGCGCTCCTGCCAAACCGTCTGCGCATCCGAACGCGCTTCTGCCTTAACTGCAGCCAGGCGGCATTTTTTGTTCGGTCGAAGGATTCGCGAGCTCGGGCGGCAAGACGTTCGAAACGAAGTGTCCTTTGACGTTGCGCGTTATATAATTCGTTGGGGACGTTTGCAAAGCCAGAACTGCGCGAGCATTTGCGACGGGATTTTTGTTTCTTTTTTTCGTCGGTCCCTAATTTATTTCAATCGAAGACTACTTTAACCGGACAGGGTCTGCCTAAAGCACTCCGTGAAACGTCGGGTCACTAACGCATACTTGCACCCCGTTTGCGGTTGGTCGCCAGCGTACTTAACCCGCGTGTGACCTCTTCCCAAACGGAACTGGCAGCGATCCAATCAAAACTGTGCTTTACCACGCCCTTCGCGCCACCGAGCGTTTCGCGGGTGCGGTTACGCGAGGGACAGCTTTGGGCGTACCGATGCTGTAAATACCGCGGGGTTCGCACCGTTGTACATACAAGACAGATGTACAGAGAATTCCTATACCACCGTCATTTTAAACTATTTTACCTAATCGAGCTTTTTAAGGGCGGTACTCCCTCGTGGTACGTGCCACGCGACGTTGGGACGAGTTCCGAGCATACGGGGCGGAAGGTGGTCGCTCCCGGGATGGTGCAATTTCTGTGGCGACGCCCGCGCTTTGTACAAAAAGAAAAAAAAAAAAATGTTTATATACGCTTTTGTTGTTTGTTTTGTCGAAAAAGCCAACTTTTAGAATTAACGACGCTTTCCCGGTCCGAATACCGGTACCTCTGCCGTGGCGAGGGTGGGCCGTTCCGGCGGGTACCTCTTTACTTATGCAAAAACGTCTCGTCGAGAAAACCGCGGCCAGTCGCTAATTTTGCAGCTTCTAGCATTGCCGGAGTAAGTCCCTCTCCACTCCTAAAACAAGTTTTTTTGAGGTGCGTCCTTCATATTTACAAAGCCAGCATCGATCGGTCGTGAGACGAACGAGCTTCTCTCGACGGCGGCGCCTCTGTAGGCAGCGTCAAACGCACTGTTCACCGAATGTGTACATTGACCCTTGTTCTCCCACCGCTCGGAAATTCCGTCCTCAAAACCTTCTATCGGAGTCCGCTCGAATGAACGGAAAGCAGCGTCGTTACTGGCCCGGCATTCTTTTGGTGTGTTGGATTCGCTCGAATAAATGGGAAATATTCTAGTCTGTGTCCTGGTGACTCTTGCAGCTTGCGAGCGAAACAAGGTTCGGTCCAAAGAGTGTGCTTGCAACCTTTATTTTTCCGGCGCTTCAACAAACCATCTTCGGAGCTGTGCCGCCCGTACCAATGTGGAACACACTTCCGACATCTGCTACGCCGCATAAATAAACTAGCGTAGGTCCGCCTCTCGAGACCGATACAAAACTGGCTCGGTCGTGGCATGTCGGTAAATAATCTCTCGTTTCTCAAATAGTGTTTTGGCAACGGAACGCAGACTTGCACAAAAAATACCGTCCACACTTGTATTTAATTACAACATATACACGGCAGACTGCATCCTTTACGGGTGTGCGGTCTGCAACATTGTCGGAAAGGTGGAGGGGAACGGGTGAGTATACTTTCACACTGAGATTAGCACATTGGCAACTGCACCAACCGATAAAAGGCTTTCCGTGCAGACGCCCAATACTGTTCCACCAAAATGGAAATTCGCTTGCTTCATTGCGGTATAAATAGGGCTCCGTGTTTTCGCTATTTATTTGTCTCCAAATTCGGGGGACAAATCTGTGTTTTATCGGGCTTGTGACGTTAAGCAACTGTAAAAATTACTGGAGAATACTATAATTCATAACTTAAAAATTATACTTGCAGTTCAGTGCAACTGTGTTGTGTATGGGTAAACAAGAAAATAGTAGGGTGGAAAAATTCTTTCCGTAAAGGTAGCCTTTCTATATCTTTTTTTTTTTTTTTCAAAGACAGTTTTAATTGGGGTTTTTCAGTTTTCGCCGATTTTGAGAAATCTGCTTTGGGGATTGATTTCTGGCAATTTTCAGTATATACCAAAAACGCAGAACCCTAGTTACGAACACGTGCATCTGGGGCACACTGGCCCAGACGTGCCAACAGGAACCGACCAAAGTTGCTCGTTCACAGAGCGTACACGAAAACATGTCTCAACATGATACGGAATCGAAACAATGGCAGGAACGTGAGCAGAAAACTCTTTTCATTCTCGCGCACAACAGAGTATGTCCAGCAACTTGTAGCTGGTTCTCTCAAAAGTCGTACCGTCGCTCTGCTAGTTCTACAGCGAGATTCAACGAGGCAGTAAACTATCCGTACGATTATTTGTTCCTGGCACCAAAGAAAACGTTGCGGTAAACGAAAAGGATCCGGACGCCATTTTCGTCTGCCGAAGATTACGGGCCGTTACGTCGGCTGCTAAGCCTGTTTTTAGTTAGATGTGCACAGCTCTGGCACCTAGCACGTACTCGGCCGCTCCTTTCTAGAAGCATTCTAAGCCGCTGTAGACTTGGTCGTGTAAAGCGAGTCTCCTTATTTATGCTACGTTGCTGCAACGTTTGTTTTGGGAAACTAACACGGCAGGGTCGAGAAACAAGCAGAAGGAACGAATGCGTTGTATTGTGCCGCCCGTCCGTCGTCTTGCTGCCGTTCTTTCCAGCTGCGTGCCACTGTCGGGTGCACGGCAGGCTAGCTCGCACTCCCAATTTTGAAAAGCCACTAGTATTTGCGAGCCTTAAACTTGATAAAATCCTCTACAAACTGCCAGACCATTCGGGTCCATTGTTCTTTACGGCGTCCTGGCCACCGAAGTAAGTGGGGCACCGATTCCTGCCGTCGTCTGTGTTGGAGCGACGGAAGTCCTACGGAAATGTGACCGGTCAAATTTCTTTGCCCATGCCGTTGCAAAAAAAAAAAAAAAATTGGGTTGTGTGTGTCTTTATACAGCCTAGAACTTCGTCTGCCTCAAAGGGCGACGAGTCTCCCAGCTGTAGATGAGCAATTTAGCCAGTGCGGTACAACCGCTAGCCTGGGGTCTTTGACGTGCACCACGCAGTAGTGATACACAACCGCACGCCGGTACGATGCTCATCCAGATCGAAACGGGCAGGGGTGGGGCTCGAACCCAGGATCCCTGGGTTCTGCAGCGCGAGCTTTCGCTCCACGTGCTCCGAGCTGGTGTGCGCTAGGCCACTCGGCCACCGATCCCGTTGCAATGCCCGTTACAAAGGTTCATCCACTGTTTGATTACGTTCCCTCGTCTCTTTTCCAGTTTTATTAAGTAAAAAAAAAAGGGTAAGACATAAAACTTCTTTGGTCATTTTTAAGATGCGAACAGCATCTTTGGGATAGGTCTGGGTTACCCGAAAATCGGACGCTTTGCTCGTAAAGGGAACGGTTAGGGCTCTGGACGTCTCACAGCCCGCAACAGAAATGGTACGCGTGTTCCTCAAAAATCTTCTTAAACACGAGTGGGACTGCCAGGTGAGATTCAACACTCTGTGCAACGATGGGGAAAGTAGAATCGTGAAATAGCCAGCCTCGCTGCAGCAACCGCCGCCAACCCGCAGTCGCCGATAGGTTAAAAAATGCGGGGCTTCTAAGGTTCCAGTCCCGCAGTCTCATTGGCTGTACGGCAACGACGAACCTGACCAGGGTTCTGGACTTGCGCAGCCAAGCGACCCTGAAAACTGGCCTAGAGACGAGCAAAGAGAGTACAGGGTTGGGAGCATTTTTCGTCCAGACCGCCTCTTAAGCTCCTGACGACAATTGTTGCCTGCCAGTTTGCAAGGGGACGAAACAAAGGGTGCAACTCAGCTTGCAACTTCCGACAGAAATGTTATTTGTGGTATGCCGACGGAGCGAGAGTCTCCCGCCGAAATTGATTCGGCGCCATCGAGACTGGTACGATGGCACTTCCGAGGCATGGCCACGCCTTTGCGCGGTCGCGATGGTTTGACGACGGTCGTGCCTTAAGTATTGCTACGTCGCTTCTCCCAAAAGTGGCTGTTTTTGCGACGAGCTTTCTGCAATGTGGCAGCTATTCTTCGCCAATATTTCGGCCTTATGACGTTTCTAGAACGCGAATTGTACGCACCGACACTTCGCTTTTTAGTGCCCCAGTATCGCTCCGTCGCGACATTTCTCCGGCGCCGTGACAATCTGGCAATTTTACAAATTATTTGTTTTTTGCGGCATTTTGACGGCGCGATACTATTGCTAAAATATTACTACTGCCGCATTACAGCGTTTCCAGGTCCCTCGTCCAACGTCGCATCGTTCCCTACAATTACATTTTCGCAGCATTAGTATTTCGGCAGTACCAACTCGCCGAGACTGCAGAGTCCAAAGTTTCTATAACCTCGTTCCTGCAATGTCGCAATGTTCCCGCTACGTGGCAACACTTTTTTCCGATGGCACCGCAACATCTTTACAACCTTGCGTACGCCGCGCCCCAACGTTGCACTTCCGGCGTCTCGACGTTTGCTGACGGCGTCGGTGCGTCGCGGCAACGTCGTTTCTTCGACGACCACTTCGAACCAGAGCTCACCGTTCGTGGTCAATTCGGACACGGTTCGTAGGCTGCAGGTGGGCAAAGTACGACACGCGCGCAAAAATCTCGAATGCAGCCGCAGTTTAGATTTTTCGGCATCATACTTCGCTAGCCTGCATGGTTGCGTTACGTGTAATCTTGGTCGGCTTGTTTGCGGCCAGACTTTGTGGACACTTTCCGAGTCTGAGCAGATTCCGTAAAGGGGCTCTAGTGGCGCCGCAAGGAGCTGGCCGGAAACGCCGGCTGCTTCAGTGTCCCATGTAGTGTGGCACGGGTGTCTGCTGCTGCGGGTGCGAGGGCGTCCCCGACGATCCGCCGGACGAGTGGGCCGGCACGCGCAGGCGCTGGTGGCTGCGCCGGCTCGTCCGGGCACGCAAGTTCACGGGGTCCTGCTCCCTGCGAGGATGCAAACGGGGGTCGGCCCTGTTAACACAAGTGCATTGGACCGCAACCGTCGTGATCTCTCGCAGAGATTTATACAGACCCCCCAAACACTCCCCACACCCCCAGGTTTTGCCCGTCGCCCCCCCCTCCCCACCCTACAGCTCCCTAAAAATTTGTAACCCCCCCAGGTTGAAAATTCTGGATGAACCCTCGATCTCGTAACCGGCATACGATCTGTCCTCTACGTCCATTTTATAAAATCTATCGCCACGATCAATCCGGTCTCAAAGCTCGAATAATTAACGACAGCTATCCTCACGCCTCGACCATAACTGCAAAGTCGATCGAGGCGAGAAGTTGGCCAGAAGCATGTGTGCTAAAGCAATAATTTTTTGTGCTTGGCAGAAAATACTAGAGGGTGTGAAATTCGATGAAAAAGGACAAAAGTCAAGGCCGGGGTTTTTGCATCGGGCTGCATTTGACAAACCGAAACTCGGGGAACGACTGTCGGTTTCGGAATTCGGGGGCTTTTGCCGGGTCACGCTCCAACAAAGCAAGAACACCGGTGGTAGCGCCCCTCCCAACCGCCGAGGTTGGCTCGCAACGCCGGTCCTGGCACCGGAGCTGGCATCTGTACATCCGAGATTCTCCCCGCCGCGCTCGCAAGAGAGACGCTCGCTCACCTTACTGGCTTTGGAGACGACTTACGCAACCGAGCGTCGTTACGGCCGATCCTCTTTTAGTACAGAGGAACTTGGCGGAGTTTCAGACCGAAATTACCCGATTCCTTCCGTAATCATCCGTAGTGGGAACGGTCTCGTTTCTCGGAGGCTTCTGGACGGTTCTAGAGAATGAGGCTCCGGAGACCCTCCCGGGGTAGAGGAGCGAGTTGCGGGGGCCCACCTGAAGAAGGGCAGGAGGGCGACGAGGGTGCTCTTGTCCGGGCTCTCCAGCAGCTCCGAGCTCGTCTGGGCCATCCAGTTGAGCACGCAGCGCAGGTAGCGCTGCAGCCTCTTCCTCCGCTCCTCCACCACCTTGGCATCCTGCGGGGAGAAGGGGGACGCCTCACTCCCGTCATTTCGGGCACTAATGGTCCGTATTGCCGTTCAACGGAGCAAAAACTGCCCTTGGAGAGATGTCCCTGCAGCTGCCCCCAGCCTAACCGCAGTCGCGCTGATCGTACAAAAGACGCGGTGTTTGCCGCACGTTCGAAACGCGCTCGCTTCGTGCTATGTGTGCTTCGAACGTACCTGCAGACAGTTTTTGTGCGACCAAATGTCGTAGAAGCCGTGCCAGCGTTCGCAGGCCGGTGTAGTAGCGGTGTGATGCCAGTGGGATACGACATTTTCATTTGTGCTCGGTCGTTTCGGAACGTCTTGTAGGCTGTGTTCCGAAATTTACTCGATCCGACTCCGGAGTAGAGGTTTCGTACCTTGGCGTTTCAAAACTTCCTCGTGCTTACTCGATGACGTCAGAACTCGCGTTCCAGAAGCGGGTTGTTTACTCCGGAGTAATTACTCACGTTACCCTCCTCGATTGGGAGGTAACGCCGGATCAAATCGAGTAAATACGTCACGTGATCTGTTCGTCGTCTGCTCGATTGCTCCGTTAGCTTTTGCGGCAGACGTTCGAAATAACAAAGAATGAGGTGCAGCCATTTATGTGTGGTTATTGCAATTTGCTGTTTTCACGCAGGAATTTATTGCACCACCATCCAGACCGTGTACCTTCCCGCAGGAAGGTATACTTGTTATTGTCAGAGTCTGAGCGTAAACAGGAGCTTCTCCGCATCCTCCTCCTCAGCGTTGGAGGGAACTCCGTATTCTTACGTTAAAGGATGAAAATGTTCAAACGCAGTAGATAATGTTGAAATTTGGGGGTTTTTTTCTCCCCAGGGTGTGCGTAATGAGAGGATTACGCTTGTAAAGCAGTGAAGGCATCGAAGATTTTATGTATACATTCAGTCAACAACCCCCACCACATTTCCCTCCCTAATAAATTGTCTATAGCGGTTTCGAAGTGCTCCCTGTGATTTTATAATCATATTCGCGTCAAAGCGAACGTAAGTTACAATTCACTGTTGAGAACGCCCCGTGCGTTCTACCGCTACACCGTGTGGGAGCATTATCCGCAAAACATAATCGGTGCTAATTACTATGAGTTGATGCTGTTTATGGCACCTGGACGAGACTTACAGCGATCCCGCAGATTAATCAAAACAAAAATGTTGATGTCTAACTGAAAGGAATGAGTAATTTTTATCTCAATATACGGTCCAAAAGGAAGGTGAGCAAAAGGAGCTGGTGGAGCCATTATCGTCTCTATCAAAGCGGTTAACATTATCGTTTCTACCTGGCTTCTCCATGATCAAAAGAGATTGTCTGCTATTTTCCGCCATCGCCGCCATGTTTTCTTTTTGCCATAGCCCAAGACGAAGCCAATCCGCGTAGTATCCAGGCGATTATCCCGGCCGTTCCAAAATCGAGTCGCGGATCACTTACTCGCGATGTCACGTGGTATTACCCGCTGACGTAGGAGGCAGGTTACTCGGGTAAGATTTGGAAGATAGCCCTAGTGTCTGGGAATCGCGCATTTGTACTCTGAAGCAGCCAATAAGCAAAAGTCACTGGAGTCCGGCCGCAAGCGCCGGACAAGCTTCGCAAGCGGCTGGGAACGTCCCGACCGAGTCGAGCTCAAAGCCAAGTACAGTTCGGTGTCCACATTACAAACCCGAATAACGAACCTCAGTTTAACAAAATGTGCGGCGTAAACAAAATTTCCACGTTCCTACCTTACCAACACCGTGCAACTTTTCCTTTATATTTAGCGAAGCAACTTTGATTGGCAGAGTCGACGTACCGAAACAATAGCTCAACGTGCGCGTGACAAACGCTTTGTTTACGGACTTCGGTCCGAGCCCATTTGCGAGATGAGGAGGGGAGTGTGACCACCTTCCGGATTACCGGCACGACTCGAGAGATACTTTTCGGCGGTAGAAACTGCGCCACAACGAAGCTTCCGAACACTCGGGTGCGGCTTTGTCGGGTTGACGTCTGGCCCTGGTGGTCGTCTGCCCGGGGTGTGGCAGACAACCTTACTAGATAAACGTCGGTCGATAAGCAAACACGCACTGCCTGCGGCAAAAAGTGATCTCCTCGCGGTTTTTAACCCGAGCTTAAAATCTGAGCAAAAAGAGCCTCGTTCGAAAATGGTCCTTTTCCGCTGCCCTAGAGGCGTTGCTGCCAGTGGCACTAGGGCTGCCGTCGTCTCGTATTTGCTCGGGTGCGGACGTCGAAGAAGAACCGCTTTCGAACGACGCTCTTTCGTGGAGCTTGTCAACCGGTAGATCTAGGAACGTTGGTAGCGAGGGCCGGTCACCTTGTTCCCTATGGACTTTTTTGGCGGGAAGTCGAAGGAGCCGACGACGGGGTTGCTCTTGCGCAGGGCCTTGTGCAGGGCGTAGAACTGCGAGTAGCGCCGGTACACGTTCCACTCGTCGTCCCGGATACGCACGTACACCTGCACGTTCGTCGAGAGGAGGCAAGATTCCTTAACCATTCGAGCGCCGGGTCAACATGTCCCAAGCAAATTTTAGTCCCACGCAGAAAGCGTGCATTTTTATTTATCTGGGGCACACCAATCTACGGGCCCAAGGTTAATCGACGTCGGCAAACCTCCAAACGAGCATATTTTTCTCAAACTTTTAGAGACTCGGTACTATGCAAAGCAGAACCCGGCCTCGCACCCTGGGGTTACTCTTCTCGCGTGGCCTATACTGCTTATTTGGAACTGGGACTTTTTTAACTAATTTTCAGATCTTGGTGGTCACCATAAAGTGCAAGGTTAAATAAAGAACATGGATTCGCTTTTCTGAAACAACCAAGGAGCGAACCGAAATACGAGTCTCCTAAACAAACCTTCCCACGCCAACGACTGTCATTGCCAGACAAAACATTGCTCTACGAGTAAAAATAATGTGGACGGCCCAGCTGGGAGAGCTAGGAAGGGAAACTGAAATCTGCAAGGGAGCGTGCTCGAACACGCTCGATTGTCAAAGGGGCACACGGATTACTTCCAAAAAAACTCGCCGAGCACCAGACTGCTCGGTTCGTGTCGACGACCTTCGTCGGCACGGCGGAAAGGCCGCGTCCCTCGTCGTTTGCGAGTTAGGGATGTGCAGAGCCCCACCTGGTAGACGTGGAAGGCGTCGGACCGATGTCCGGCCAGGAAGGCCGACGGGATCCAGATGTTGATGAGGGGCCTCGAGGCCGTCTGGGAGGAGCTGCGGGGAACGGACCAGGCAGGGTCAGTCGACCGGTTCCGACGTCGGACTCGCGGGCCGGCTAGGCCTATGCGCGCGGGTGCCACCTCAATCCTCGACGCGTTCGCAAACGCGACGGCACCGCTCCACCTCGTTCCAGATCAAAGGTTTCGTAGCTCGGCGTTTGGAAACCTACTCGTGTCTGGCGCCGCTCTATCTGCGTAATTGTGCGATAGGACCCACGGGAGTAACCCAGATTTCCTCGAGTGAAGCCGCGCACCGATATGTGCTGCACCAAACACTGTGCGGACCGAGGCAGATTGGCCACATTAAAGTCGTCTGCAGACGCATATGTATGAAATGAGCGTGCTTCAAAGGTGCCTAAGGCACCTGTGCGGAGAATTCTGTAATTGCGTCTGCAGCAAACGTCTCTTGTACGGCGTACAAGTGACAGCAGCTTAAAATTTGGAGCCGAAAAGTATCTCGCCTCCTCGGCAACTTCCAGTCGCTCCGTTAGGGCGGGACTTCCGCGCTTGTTTACCCTGCAATTTGGAGGACGCTCGGAGAGTCTGAGATTCGGCGAGGCTGTCCTGCTGCACCGTTCCGAGCATACCGAGTAACTGGTCGTATCGCGCGAGTATTGGAGGATCTCCGGCACATCTCTCGCTCGCCCATCCTCGAGTTAAGGAGAATTTCCGGCAGAATATTTCGTGCACGTTGTGAGGAGCGGTGCTGTGCCGGGAATTGTTTGTCCCTCCATTTGACTTCGCAGGGATGCAAAACGTGACGGTGCTGCCTCGTGGCATTTTCGCGGAAAGGGTCTACTACGAGGTCGTGGTGGAGACGGTCCCGGCGTTTATTTTACCTCAGTTATTGTACTTCAGTGTCTGGCACCCTGGAGAAACATAGTTATCTTTGCGAGTAGTAGACGAAGAAAGCGTCCGTCCTTCATTTACGAGTCGAGACACCATCTACAGCTTCCACGTTACGTTTTGCTGCTACGTACTGCCAAGACGAAAGCAGATGCAGAAAAACGATCTGCTGCTGCTTCTAGCAATGATGCGAATGGTTGGCCTGCTCTGCCTCGTGTAATGTTCAACGTTTTTATAAGAAGGACAGCAGCTCGACTACGGTTGAACCAAGCACCAACTCGGAGGAAGACGGGCTGGTTACGCATCGACCGAGGGAACGGCGGGCATTTGGTCCCTCGGTCGTTGCACCGGGAAGAGACGACGGCAAGAACACCCCGAACTTGGCATACTCACGCGTCATAGTCGGAAGTGATGCTCAGATTGTCGTCGTCCGACGTCTGGTTCTCGTCAGGAAGCTGAGAATTTGGAAGGGAAAAAAATTTTTAACAAAGTATTCGATGCTGACATTGTAACAATGAAGTTTGCAATACCAGAACATCACCATTAAACGACAAAGTGCAATTCATATCCACATTGAAATTTGGGTTCCAGTTAGGGGTCTCAGTTCAAGCTCTGCGGCACTTGCATTGTCGGCAACGATGCGTGGAGTTGGGCTCGTTGGTTTAGCGTAGCTCGAGTGAAAAGGACTAGAAGAAACCTGGAGCTGACCAGCAACTGAAAATTTTACTCTCGCACGAAACGGCGAGCGAACGAGGGATGGGAATGGATAGGTGCGGCAAGTTTGTGTAAGCCGGCAGGCTGGGGTGTTTTCACGGGTTGTTTGCTTCGTTCCCAACTTTCCTGCCTCTCGTTTACTCGCTGTTTTGTGCAGGGGTGCCACTTTCAGTTGCCAGCCGCCACTGATTTTGCACGCTCCTTCTTCCAGTCCGTTTTTTTTTCGCTTCCACTGTCAGCTTCGCCGACATCAGACGGTTCACGGCTCTTAGCAGACGTTTGGTGGCTCCAGGAGAGGCCACTCACCGGTCCACGCAGGTCCGTGAGCTCCTCCCTCAACCGACGGATAGTGGTCTCGCGGAAGAGCAGAAGGCGGTGCAGGCGCTCGTTGAACTCCATCAGCTCCCCGTGCATTTCCGCCACCTGGGGGCATCGTCGAAGGTAGCACCGTGGGGAGCGGGTCTCTCTCAGCCTCGACACGCGACCGTCTAACCCCAAGCGCAAGCCCCACATTAGGCGCGACGTCTTAACACACTCCGGTTTCAAAAGCTTGGCTGCGAACGTAAAAATATAGTGGCACTATTTCCATCAGGCAAGGACAGTCGCGAAACCGGGAGCGCCGGCAAAGAAGAGTCACCTGTACGAGCTTCTTCTCGTATTCGCCGGCCTCGAAGCGGTGATCGATGAAGGCCTTGGGCTCTGGAATGGCCGGCTCCACTTCACCCACCATGTTCTGCAGCGCTGCACCAACAGTGAGCGACCTCTTCACCCTCCGAGGCACGCTCCCCAGGTTGGCAGTTTGAACACCATTTCCATTAAATGCTACGTCGCACTAAACTAGATTGATTGTACTGGTTTACTGCATCACTGGACCAAATGTCAAAGCGACGAAACAAAAGAATTCCTTCACTCAATCAAGTAGTGTCTCGATAGTTTTACAAAATCAACAATTTGCTCTTGCAGAAGAAACAAGCGGCATACTTACCGGCAATTGCACCACATTTACTAAAGTAAGAAGAAACGAGCTCGAGTGTGTTCAGGCACTAGCCATTTTACTTTATTCATAATGGGCTAAAGTGTGCTACGTTAAGTTCGAGTAAACATCTTTCATTACGAATTCTCCAAGGTTCCGGTACGTTTTTGCGTAAATAAATTACGAAGCGGTTAAATCGTCGAGTAACGAATTATCCGCGGATAAATTAAAAAATTCGATGGACCGAATCGACCGATCACTCACACTGGTGGGCAGCCAGCCCGTCCCGTTTCAGCAGCTGAACCGCGGCGATGTACTTCTTCAGTTGGTGCTTCAGCAGCTCGTTTTCCCTGGAAGTGAGAGCGCAACTTGATGCCGTGCTCTGGTGCAGAGATAGAACATTTCTCATAGTTGCGCACAATTCGATCGACAGGAAAAAAAAAGTTCAGTCCGTATTTGCAGTTCCAACGCCACCGATGCGCGGATAACGGCTGTCTAAGCTTTTAGGTACAGGAATTTATTCCTCTCCATCTTTAAGACCGTCTCTCCTCAGCCCACCCACCAAAACGAGAACAACTAACGGAGATATTTTCCACCAAAACAATTCGGTCGTGTCACCACCGAGCAAATGCAAACAAATGAAACGTATCGCATTCCATAGATGGCAGCGCCTATAGCCCCCGTCTACACGAGTTTAAAAGAGCGTCCCTTCCATGCGAAACTCAAAACGGAGGCGCGTCTAAAGTCTCCAGTTGAGGGGTTAAGCGCAACCGGCTGGGGACCAGGCCCGGGGACGTCAGTTTGAGGCTCCAAACGGGAGCTGGGTGGAGCGGCCTCGCATGTCCTCACCTGGTGAGCGTCTGTATCTTGGAGTCCTGCCTGTCGGTGCGCTCCCCCACCGCCTTCTCCGTCTCCAGCGCGTCGGCACGCAGCTTGGCGTTCAGCTCCGCCTCCCGCTCCAGCAGCCTCTTCAGCGAGCTGCACCCAGCCCGCCGGGACGTTAAGGACGCCGCGCCGGCTCGGACGTCTAGTCGCATTAGCAAAATATAAAAGGGGCTAGATATACCGAGTCATTTTTTTCATCCTAATATAAGGGGGCAGTTGGGAAAAGCTTTGGGTGTATCCAAACATTGCTACCAACTCGAACCAAGCTTTTTCTTGCCTCTACATGCAATGGCGAACGGGCTGTGATGGTTTCTCACGGGCATTCGGTATTGCAAGCTCCGTTTGAACTACTTGGGGAGAAAACTCTCCAAGAAGTCCCTAGAAGTCCCTAGCTACCCCAGCCTCTTCTCGCTTTTCTGGAAGGACCGACAACCAGGGCTGTCCGTCGACGACACGCGCCGTTGCAAAGGACAGGGAGAGGCGTGCCAGACACGGACGGGTTCGTCGCAAGGATGTGCCCGTGTCAATTTGTAACCTCTTTCGCCGTGCTCCGTTTCGTAAACGCACACTCCGCATTCGGACGGATCGTAACGGCGGGTATAATTTGGAGTGGACTCAGTTGCTAAATGTGCAGACGACAGCATGTAGGCTTTCTTAAGGATTGTCCAAACAGGACACTACAAAACACACAACTCCGACAAATCGTGAAAATTGAAGCCAACGCTTCCGCTTCAATTTTCACGATTTGTTGGAGTGTTGCGTTTTGTAGTGTTCTGTTTGGACACCCCTTTTATACGGCAACAGCTGTTAGTGGACCGTTCTCCGATTTCGTGATGGTGTGAGCATAAACATTGTCAGTTTCCCCGCTAAATTTGGCGGGAAAACGCATCGCGACCTTAAAATTATTTATTCATCAACGATGCATCGACGCTAAATCAACGCAACGTCATTTCAATGTCAGACCACCGTACGACGCACGATCGGCGCAATGTCAATCGATCGCCATCGTCGTACCATCGAATATGCGGCACAGCTGTCACTGTCTAAACGCATCGCGTCGTCCGATCGTTGCGCAATTTTTAAAAGATTCCGCGGGACGCCCAACAGTGCGAAAACACCTGCCTGTTCTCTTGTTCCACATCCTTGACATGCTGCGTGACGACCAGCAGCGCTTGTCTCAGCTCCTCTGCCGAGAAAAGAATCCAACAAATTAAATGAACTCGTAACGTTAAGGTAGATAACATTTGTTTTCTACGGGAATCTTAAACCAGGAGTACCGATTTAAGTTTTCTTAAAAAATTAAATCGGTACTCATCACCGTTTATTTTCCTAGAAGAACCGCAAGGTGTATTACACCGGGGTGTGGGTATGCATATAATTATATACCGTAACGTACCTCGGAAGCAGCCACTATTAACATTTCCCAAACTCTGGAATTCTGCAAATGATACATTTAGCGCCCAATTTGACCGGACGAGCGCCCATGTCTAGATTAACTCAGTTTCAGAGAAAGCGGGGCGGGCACTCTCCCGGTGTCTTACGGTAAACATTCAAAAAAGACAATGAACGCAACATTAATGCAATACACTGTAATCTAATTGATGGGTTAGAGAGGACGAGGCTCCCACAAATATATTAGCACTATTAATAGAAACAATGTGGTCAGGTTGTGCGCTCTAGTCTTCTATTGCCAATGGTATTGTTTGAGATGTAGACATAAGCAACCTCCCAGAGCTCTACCGAAGGCCTGGGAAAGAGAAATTTCCTCCTCTCCCAGTTCTCTCTCTTCATGGCAACCCTCCACTCTTCATTTGGATTAAAACCCGATCGAAACCCCCTTCATAAGTTGGTGGGGCTCGCTGCCGAGAGCCGTCGCCACGACTGAGCAAGGGCAGTGCGTTGTTTACTAATGCTTCATTCTGCCATTGAGTACACTGAACAATTTTGTTGTTTCTGCGAACCATAAAGAACATTTTTCGGAAGGAACTTATTGACGAAGCAGAGCGAGAGTGAACGGCTTCGAAGAAGTCTGGCAGCAGAAGCGTTGCAACGAGGGATGCCGTGATCGGAGTTCGATTATTGCTCCGTCGCGAGGTTCTTCGTAGATTTTTGCTATTACCTGTCTCGCGCGATTATAAGGAAGTGCGTTCATTGCAGACACGTTTGCATTATCAAAATAAACTTTACTCTCCACTTCCGGAGACTTAATCGAGGATCGAAGGAGCTCCCTACATTTCTGGTCGTGTTGGCCACGTCGGTGACCAACTGCCCGAGGCCGCATGTTGCGCCCGTGAGGCTCATGAACACAACCTTTAGACTCTTTGACAAAACAGTTGGCAGTGCTTCGCGTCTCTTCAACATCCCGGTCGTTAACCTACCTCGCCTGATGCTGGTTCTACCGATACATTTTTTTGCTCGAGATTTTCACACGCGCGAGAATCTGCTTTTATAAGTTACCCGTTCTTGGAGCTTTGTACGACAAATGAGGAAACGTAATGTGGGAGCACGTTAATGCCCCAAAATACCGGTACTGCACCAATATACAATATGAATGTTTCGCGCGGGACGCGACTATCTGTCCTCGAGTACAAGCGGCAAAAACTCTCCCTGAAATTACATTACTTATTCGAGACATTCTCGCTCGCTCTCAAATAACGGCACGCAAACGGTATAGTTTATGCGGCGTAATACAAAACCATCGCTGTCGCACTCGGTCCGACGGACGCCATCCTCAATGGCTACAGGTCGCTACGAGCCGCCAAAGTGGCCGGGGCGCCCGCTCTAATCTCCTCGGTAATGGCGGCACGGAGCTGCTGGGAGACGAGGATTCGCGCTACCTTCGGCATAGACGGACTAGACCTTCTTAGCTCAGCCGTTAGGTTATATGCGGATGACCGCGCGATTTATAGAAAAATGATGGAAAAAGATAAAACCCAAAGCGCCACGGTGCGAGCCGCCCACCCTCGGATGGCGCGGGCGGAATGTCTCACCGGGGGTCGCGGACGTCGTGTCCGGCGCCGAATCTTCGACGGCCGTTGGCTGCTGCGGTGTGGCGGCGTCCAGCGCCAGATTCTGAGCCAACGCCAGGGCCGCCGCGGCACTGTCCGTGTCCTCGCTGTAGCTCGGGATGTAGGGCACGTCCTCCGCTGCAGGTCGAGAAGGGACCCAGGTGGTGCTGGGTGCCTCTCCCTCGTCCAGGGCTGCCAACAGGGAAAGTCAAGCTTTCCCCAGCGAATGCCTAAAATTTCCCTATTTTTTACGAAATTTCCCTTGCTTGCCCAAAAAATTACGTAATACTAAATATTTCTCGTTTTTTGCACGACTTCCATTTTTATGATGAGAGATGTATTATGTTTCGCAAAAATGAGTTTATCGGCCCAAAACCGTGTCCAAAGCAAATCTGGCGAAAGGAAGTGTTACTGCGGGAGATTCAAACTGACAAAATGAAACGCTATCTTTACCTTAGGTGTTACGCACACTATCATAACATGGTACTGTTTACTAACTTCAGCAGTGCTTTCTATAATACTCAGTTCAAAACAAAACAAAATGAAAAGCGAGAGTTCTCAAACTCGACAGATTGCACAGTGGCACTCTCAAAAGCTTCCATTTCGCTGCTCTCTACCTCCATAGTTTTTACGGGGGCGAGGAAAACAAATGAACATTGTGTTTGCTGGAAAAAAAAAAACGTTCGAGTGCTCCTCAGTGTTTCCAGATGGTCGCATAACAAACCGCCAGATGGCTGGAGGGAAAAGCCTAATTGTAGCCAAAGCCGCTAAAATTCAATGTTATCTCGAAATAAAATCATAATTGACTGATAAAATTACGGATATATATGGTGCCCAAAATTTCCCTCAAACTCGCAAGATTTCCATTATTACCACATAGACCCGAATATTACCTTAGTCCGGGAAATTTCCCTCCGGTTAACAGCCCAGCCCTCGCGTGAGCGGTTCAGTCCCTCAAGCCCGACAAGATTTGCGAAACGTGCAACGGTCGCTCGCGAACTAGCTCGACGACCCAACCGCCGGTGATTGCAAAACGCTCGGCTGCCGCGGCAGAGAGGTTTCAATCATACCGTCGAGGCCCACGCTCCTTAGGAAGGACAAGCTTCTCTCACAACGAAGAAACATGCCGGCATACTGGCGCCATCTACCGGGCAGCCCTAGCAGAGATGTGATTGGCCTAAGCCGTTTTGGAGCACCTTCTGGAGCAGCCAAAACAGAGTTTTGGAGCAGCTAAAACAATGTTTCGGAGCAGCGAAAGTGACTTTTGGAGCAGATATTCTTAGAAAAAAAAAATATTAATTTCAAGTGGTGGACAAACGAAGGACACATTGCTCGCCGCACTCAACCAATTATTGTCAAGACAGACCCCCTGGGAGTCTTTCAACATGTAACTGAAATGCCAATGACATGACACATTTTGCTATGCTTCAGGTAAATGATACAAATATATCGGAACAAACTGCACATATTAAAATTTATTTGAAAATGACCAACTTAGTAGTAAATATCATATCATTAGGTTGACTAGTAATATAATAAATGGAAGCAGTGTCCAACTGATGAAACACGTAACTACTGCTGTGCAATGCGAAATTGTCGCGCGAGCAGAGATGGCTGTTGGATCGAAACCATGCCACTCCGCTGCGTCTCTAATTCCTAAAATTGTATGCAAAATGTAACTGTCCAACATACGACAAAAAAAAAAAGTCCAGCGGCACGTGCTTGCCAGGCCGGCAGGCGAGGTACAAGCTAAATACAGAAGAAAAAAAAAAAAAAACCTGAGCGCACCGATGCAAGACATTGCGAGCCAGGGTCAAAAAGTTCTAGGAGCGCTTTGTGCAAGGACTGAACTCGAGACAAATAAGCATGCTGTGCGGGTTCAGCATGCGGACATTACCTTCTTTGGTTTACCTCACTTCTCCTCACCAACATCTTTCGCGGCTGATTTTTCACGTACCGGGGTACGTCTCGAAAGAAAGAATACCGAGAGAAACCTAAATAATCAATACTTCGACACAGCAGTCTGAGAGCTAAAGGGATGCTTGCGTATTAAACAAGAACAGGACTGTTGATGAACATGCGGCAGTCCTTATGTTTCAGTTTAGAAAGTGCCATAACTGCAGTGACGTGGGGACGGCAACATCCCATGTTGTGCGACCACGGTGACTGGCAGGCAGGGACCAAATGTAGTTTGGCCACGGCCGTTGCTTTTAGGAGCGAGTGCTTCAGCCCATAAAGTAACCCCCGCCGCGCAAAAACATGCTTTCGTTTTACAGCATGACGGCATAGCTGGTACCCAGCACGCTAGCGTCGGAGCGTCCGCACACGCCCACGTCTATCATTGAATTTTTTTTTTTTTTAAAGACGCGAGACGAGAGACGGCGAGAGAAATCATACAAGACCGGATGAACAATTAATGCAGGGTACTTTGTGTCGGACGGCTGCTTGCACCACAAGCTTATGTGTGAATAATTACGATACTCAATTTAGTTTCGGTTTTCAAAGGCGACCAAAATTGGTCTTTTGGCGCAGGCTTGGCGCAGACTACCCATATTTTGGCAAAATGTAGCAGGATGGAGCAGGGTTAGCCCCTTGGCGCAGTTTGGCGCAATCGGCGCAGCAATCACATCACTGCCCTAGAACTGCGTTTCGCTAGAGTGTTGGCGAGATCAAACGCACTCGCACGAAAAATGATAGTCTCTAACGTTGTCGAAGGCTTTTTCAGCCCCAAAAGAAAGAACGATAAAACGTAAACATGGTGCCAGTGTCTCCTCTCGTTGCGAGACAAGAAGTTTGAAGGCACCCGGCCGTAAGGAAGCGGGCGTGTGAACGTGCCTTTGCGCTGCCACGTCGTTGCAATAGCAACCGAAGAGGGAGGGAAACGAGAGAAAAGGAGCCGCACTTTGCAAATGGGGCTTCGCGGTCGCGACATCCATAAAAATATTGGCGAACTAGCGCCATTCACCTTCCGGTCTGCCGTGCCAGACGGACGGCACCGGCAAGCGGCTTCTGCGGGGGCGGACGCCGAGAAACATTGGCCGTCTGCTAGCTGCATCCGCAACTCGCGCCGACGCATGCACTTGCCCGACCGAACTACGCAAGGCCCTTCTCTCTCGGATGGTGCCCTCACCGTGGGCCTCTTTGGGTGGATGGCCGATGGGGATGAGGTCCCCGATGGACATGTCCAGGATCGGGGTGAGGGCCGACGGCTGGAAGGAGCTGCCCCCGCACTCCCTGCCACTGCAAAGCAAACATCAAGTCTTCGAGGCTGCTTCGGCGGAGCAATTCTTTCGCAGCGACATTCGCATTTGGAAAGTTGGACGACGCCGACTTTCCTTCTGCAAAGGTGCGGCACCGCGCAAAACGACCCTCAAACCAAAGGGAAAGATAATCGTGATTACAAAAAAGTCGTTTTTTTTTTTTTTTAAATTTTGGTTTGCTTAGCATTCTGATTTAGATCACTGTAGCTAGAAAATAGTGATTCTTTATTACTACCATAAAATTCTGAGAGATAGCCCACCTAACATCAGGAGCAAATCGGATGAAAATATGGAGTAGGCTAACTTTCAATGGTACAATCGAGAAAAGTTTTAAAAATTGCTATTTTTAGGTTGCGTCCCTTCCAAGCTTGTTATGAAGGTGGGGGGCAATGAAGCAAAGATGACTGTTCTTCCCATTCGGCGGCAGCGTTCGCTACTATCCACATTTATGCCGAGGCCATTGATCCCCACCCTACCATTACTAAGAGTGTGGTATCTTTCGGTGTTTACAAAAATATGGCAAATCAAGCCAAAAATAGGCGGCGGGCTATCTTTCACGGGTAGGGCATCTCTCGGGTTTTTGCAGTCCATGCATGTATTTTTCAACATGGCAGATTGATTAATCAATTCGCCCAATCACTGAAACGATGCGCAAGAAGGAATTACCGGAAATGGTAAAGTACAAGTTAATTAACCACTTTTCATTGCTGTAATCCCCGCCATACTAGAACAAAAACAACCCGATTGCAATATTCCTTTTCTAGATTATTATTATTATTATTTTTTTTTTTTTTTTTCATCTTGATTTTATTGCAATAAACACATCTGTTTGCTCGTGTTTAGCATTACATAAATATTTTTTGCTCAAAATCTGCAATTTAAATACGAAAAAAATGCATTTAAATCGCATCAAATGATAGACATAGTAAATAAAATAAATATTTTCAGGACTATTTGTGTGGAAAAGGTTCGATGTAAGTCATTGTTGTAAGACAGGTCAGATTTAAATCGAGATTTATTTTACGATTTAGGTAGATCATATTGAATTTTCTTCACCACCCTGCCTCATACCAAGCCTGCTGTTCTTCTCAAAATCAAAGACAACATATATGAAATCGTCCGCACCTCCGGTAGCTCTTACCGCATTCTCATCATCGTGTAACACAAAGGGGAGGAGAGGCTGTTGTCAGATAAAGGCAGGAAATCAAAACGAATGCCAAACATTGTTCTAAGACAAGAAAACAAAGAACACCATGCAAAATAAAACGACAGATTTAAAATTTGATACGAAGCATTCACTAGCACGTGGTAGCAAAAACTCGTTTCGGTGCGGGTGGTTCGTTTATATTACGGGGCCGGTAGCGAGCCGCACGTCGGTACCTCAGTGGCGAGGAGGACACGGAACTGGGAATGTCTCTTCGCGGAGAGTCGGAAGACTCCGTCGATCCGGACCAGGTCTTGATCCGCTCTTGGGGTTGGGATCCAGAACCCAGTGGTCCGCCAGAACGCGGTCCTGAAATGGCAAAGCAGCCCGGACACAATGAGCGCAAAAGGGTTGCCGACGCCGCATCTTTTGTTTTCGTTCGCACACTTTTGACGGGTCCGGAGTGCCCCGACGCAAATCCCCCCGCGCAAAACGAATTCATCGCCCACATTTTCGATCGCGGCGTAGCCGGAAAACAATCCCGCCTTTTATCGCCCGTTTCCGCTCTTTGAGCCTACTCGTGTGCAGAAGGTGGGGTTCGATGCTAAACGACGGGCAAACAATCAATCCGGCGAGCACGGTGCCCCGTCAACTTAGCGGTGGCGAGTACGGTTGCCACATTTGCAAATGGAGTGCAGACATCCATGCGGGCTCTCCCACTTTTCAATGTCCGAGAACAGCCCTCGACCGACGAACACCTCCTGGTCTAGGTGTTATCAGAACCAAGTGCACCAAAAGCCTACGGATCTCGCAAACTATAATGGACATACATTGTTGAGGATCAATGGGTGGCTCCAGCCGCTCAAATACCCGTAAGACACTTTACGGGACTAGAGTAGCAGCCGTCGAGGAAAGGAGAAAGTTTGGCGAAGCCCAAGTTTCTAGGAACCCGGCGTGGGCAGTGAGAGTTCAGAGAATGTCCGACGCCGACGTATTCCAACTTTCACTGCGGAACGTCGGAATGCGCTCTATGGCCGGCGAGGACGCGGGCCACTTCGAAGACTGTTCCGCTCAGTGGAGAAGCGAGCCCTTCCGACGCGGTGCCACCAACACCTCTCCGACCGGCGTGCTTTGCGTCCTCTCCCGCCCGCGCATACAAGTTGTTCCGCAGTGGCGACAAATGGCCGGCCGGGGCACCCACCCGGTTCGTCCGAGATGTTGCCGTCGGTGGCCACATCAGAGGGGGTCAGGGACTCGACGCTGCGCGCGTCTTCCGCGGCCATGCCAAGAGCCGCCTCCTCGTCCCTCGGGGACTCGGGCTGCAGGGCGATGGCCGGCGGGGACTCCGTGGCCACAGGCGAGGACACGCAGGTTGCCGGGGCGCTGAAGCAGCTGTGGTAGTACCTGCACGCAGTCTCGGCGAGTTACTTTCAAGAGGTCATTCCTTACAATTAAGAAAAAAAGCGGCAAAGTTATCCTTACAGTTACCTACGAAAAAGTAACTTGTTAAGCTAGAGTTACCTTTGAAGGTTACTTTTTATTTACTTTCACAAGTCGAGAAAAAGTAACAAACACCCCCCCATTTTTATCACCCGAAGTGAGTAAAGTAGGCATGAGGCAAATATGGCACTCGAAATGTCGGAAGACATTGTTTGTAAAGTGCGAGGAATGACTAGACTGCACTCAATCGACGACATCTTAATTCTCGACAAACCACAAAAAGCAACGACAAAAGCAATGGCACTACTTTCGTCTTCGGGCAAAGTAATGGAACTACAGTTGCGAGTAACATTTAGAAAAAGAAACTTAAACATTACCAAAGAAGCAACCGAGTTCCAATGACGCGTTGCTACCCGAGACCGCCTGCACGGGCCCCCGAGGTGCGGCCACGGTCAAGGCCACATTCCGACGAAGCCAATCGGGCAGCGTCAAAAGTGTGTCGCTTTTGGCGTTTTTTTTGCGTTTGCGATCGCAGACTTGACCAATCGTGCACAATGCATGTGCCGCGATCCTGCGCTTTTTTCTGATTGTGATTGGTTTTTTCCATCGATAGCATACCCACAAAGACAACAAGCACCATGACGATGCACCTCCGCCGGATTTCGCAGTCGACCGTGGTCGGACTTAAAGGGATGGTGAACCGAAATTTGGATTTCAAAAAAACAATGCAGGAGATGTAGGCGGGACGCTACAATCCCTACAACACTACTCGTAAGGCGATATCTCAAATGGACGGCCGTATTTTGGGAAAAAGAGGTCGAGATTGAACCAGGCTGACGAGGCGCGTGACGTCAAGATATCTCCTTTCCTCCTCTCTTCTCTTCGCCCCCTTAAGGCGGCGAGGCGGAGAAGACGCGAGGCCGTTCCCTCTCCTTCTCGGAGAAACATGACGTCAACATTCCTGCCAAAGGCGCCTCTTTTTTTTTAAAAATACGGTCATCCGTTCGAGATATCGCTGTATGAGTGATGTTTTGGTGTTTGTAGCATCCCGTTGCACGCTTTTGCCGCCTTGCTTTGTGGAATCCAGATTTCGGTTCAGCATCCCTTTAAGGGTGCACTCCGGCCGTTTTCTTCATAGACCCCGATTTGCCCGAACATTTGCTAAAACAAACGTCGCTCAAACAGTAACCCAAATATTGGGCCAAAATAAGTTCTTTTTGCAAAATAATATAATTTACGACGGACCTTTTTCCAGTAAGCTTCTGCGCGTGTGTACACCCCTCTCCCAGTCTTGCCTCCCCGTCTCCATTTTTGCGGGGCAAAGTTCCTATCCTTGCGCGTATTTCGTCTTTTTGTAGCGTGAACTACACTGACCGAGGCTAAGCAGTTTTGCATGGCTCGCAAAATGAGCCGTGTTACGTGCTGCGCATGCGCGAGGAGCAGTGATGTCACACGGCACACAGCTGGCGTGCCGGAGCCGCCGCCGCCGCGCGCTCCGCTGCCACCGCAAAGCGCGCCTCGCCGGTCTGTGCATTCCAGAGGAGTGATGTCATAGCCGCGGCAGACCCACTGGCGCCGCCGCGTGCCCAGCTGTGCGCCTCCGTTGCGCAGTAGCCATGTCTGACGCTGCACCGGAGTCGCTTGATAGCGCCTCTCATTTTGTGCGCATAAGCTCACGCTAAGTCTATCCTGGCATAGCCGAGCTAAGCCACCCCAATTTTTTGGTAATTCTTGTTCGAGGATACGCTAGAATCGGTCATAAAAGGCAACGAAGATCAATACAACGACACAATGCCAATGTATTCTGATGGGCAGAGGCAAGTTGGGCTGCCCTTCATTTGTAATTCCAAGACAACTATGCAGACGGTGCTCGTTACTGGAAAAAAGTCCCTTTTAATCCTCATTGCGTTTTGACAGAGTAAAAGTGGCTACTGGCAACAATAAAAAAAGTGATGTCGGCAGAAGGCAGGGGTTCACTCTTTGGACTGTGGACTTTGTTCCCAACTGATTACGAGCAGTTTGATGACGTCAAATGAATGCTTTGGAAGTTCGCTCCAGCACCCGTGCACTAGCACGAAACAAATGCTCGGCATTGTCTGTTTGTAGACTACCCGCTAGACCTGCGAGCCTGCATGCCACTGACGTCGCGGCACTGAAAAGCGTGGGTATATTTGAACGTTGCTTTTGGCATCATTTTCACTCACCGATGTCGCAATAAGTATTTTTAATTTTGCGATACTAGACAGCATACCGGAAAGTGTAAAGGCCGGTGATTCCGAAAATATGATTTGTTGGGGTAGCTAGAAAATGAAAGACGTTTACGATTCCCTGTAATGCCGAATTAGAGCGCAGCTCTTAAGGAGAAGGGGAGGGTACGGAGAGGAGGGTATGTCCCTCCTCCTCCTCCGCCTTTTTCCTTCCTTCCTTCCTTCTTCCTCCTCCCCCTCCCTCCTCCCTTGTGACGTCACTCGTGAAGGCCGTGACCTTCACGAGTGAAGGTCATTACCTTCACGAGTGACCTTCGTGACATTATTATGGAAGACATCCCATAATGCAACGCGCAGGTAGACGCCGATGGCGACACTGCTCAAGCCGGAAACGGGCACTTAAGAGCTCCGCTCTAAAAAAGCGCCAGGAGTACCCCTTTAAAGTGAAATGAAGTATAGCTCGTCATCTGTCCGCTTTGGCCTTTAACCCCGCCCTCTCTGTCGCTTTCAGCATTTAACTGGAGTCGCTCATTCACGTGGTGTGCCAGCCAAACACTTCAGTTTAGTTCAATTCAATATTACTCAAAGGCACATTAATGAAGCACATTAATGTGCCTTTGAGTAGGGACGGGGGATCTAATACAAAAAATTAACGGTGAAGGTTGCTAATTAACAGTTTGGTTAATGATGAACAAGAGACACATTATAAGGGTCATTAAAAAGAAACAAAAAAATGTCAGTGATATTATAAAAAAAAAAAAACATTTTGAGTAATGAACAATACTCGCGACGTCAACCTCGCAAAGACTACCGAATTTAGCCCAATTAGTTTCGAGTGGGATTATTTCAGGAAGAGAATTCCAGTCAGTAATAGCTAGAGAAAGCGGGGAACTTTGAAATTGATTGGTTCTCGCGAATAGAGCATTTACCATCAAGGTCTGGTCAGACGCAAATGCATGTGAGATTGCAGTTAACAGTCTCGAGAAGAAGAGGAACGGTAGATTATGTGAAACGTGACATAATGAGCAAGTTTACTTCCTGTATGCAGAGTCGCTTACTACCCGACGGGCCGCCCTTACGCGCAATATAACTTCGACCCTGGCCGCGTCGCACAAACTGCCGTTCGCCGATGGATCCAACGCGGGGGTGTCCCGTAGATCTCAATTCTCCGTGCAAACAGACGCGCGGTAATTGGGCACAAATTCGGAGCGCGAGAAAAAGCGTGACACCGGGAGACATCCGAACGGAAGTGGAGCTTGCCTGTCGTCCGTGTCGTCTTCCTCATCGTCGAAGGACACCACGTTGGAGCGAGGCTTGCGGCGCTTCTTTTTGCGCTTCACGTCCACTGCGGAAGAGCAGAAAAAGAATGCATCCAGTCGGCGTCCGGCCAACGCTCCCCACGCACCCAGGACGGCGGAAGAATCCTCGATGCAGTGCGCCAGCTCGAGGTCATTTTATCTTTCCATCGGTAGGTGGCGGTGAAATAAGATGCACCTAGATCGCGTCTAGATCACCTATGTAAATTACGTCCAATTCGATCATCAACTGTTTCTCACCAGACTTCCACACTACCATTGGCCATCGAGGATTGAAATTCACCACCTGATAACATCGTTTCTGTTAATGATACTACTAAATTTGTTGAAGCCATTACCCTCTCTTTATCTAACCTACCTAGCTAGCTTACAGTGTTATAATTGTGTTTACTGTTCTATTTGTTTTTTGTTCTATTGCCACCCCCTTGTATAATGCCCCACGGGCCCTCGAGGAAAATAAATGATGATGATGATGACCTTCCGAGCGTCTTCCGGCTAAATACGCGGACGTATTTGGTCGGACGAGCCTGCCACCCGAAGGCATTAACGTAGCCAAGTTCTTGTCTAGAGTGGGTAACAATGTTGCCAGACCCGCCAAGCTCCCGCCGTCTAAACGACTAACTTGCGTGGTTTTCATTTTGTCGGAGGGGTCGGCGAGAGCGTACCCATGGGCCGGGCGATGACTGGCCGGGGCTCAGAGGCCTGGGCGGGCGCCCTCACCACCACGCTGGACTCGGGGGGGTTCAGGTCCGGGTTGTCGATGTTGATGGCAAACAGGATGGACCCCAGGCCTGCACGGACAGACGCAAACTCCTCAATCGGACGGCCACTTGCGCCACCTGGTCTTCCAACGCCGAGACACTTCTTCTGGCGGACGATAACGCCGGCAACGAGCGAAAATGGACGAAGGTGCTTGCCAACGAGTCGTTAACGGAGAATCTGTTTGAGGGCTGGCGTTACGAAATGTGTAATCTCAAAAGACAATCCGTACAACAGAGTGGTAAATCGAAAAGAGCGAAGTTCTGAACGTGCCTTCAGAGGGATCCAACCCACGTTCCCTCAACTGTGAGCTCAACATTCAACCACTGCACCTATTAGTGGGTACGTGTAAAGCTAGCTGGCTGTCCCTGCCACGGGAATGCACCAACGAGGGGGGGTTCAAACCACGTTTCTGCCTGAAGGGTTGGAACTTTTCCAAAATTCAGTCCGCTCACTTTCACTGTCAGAGTGTTGGACATTTGTGAAAACATGCTCCACCTCATTACGGCTAGTCAGCATACATTCGTAGCACTTTGTTCTGTAGCACTGAAAGAGGGTGTAGAAGAGAATGGTCTCAGAACCACTGGTCCCAAGGAAGAAATAAAAGATCCCATGGTCGCAGCGAAAATAAAGTAGAGCAAGGTGAAATCACTGGATGAAAATATAAGCTTCCTCAAGTTAAAAAAACAAAAAAACAAAAAAACTGAAGATTCTTTTTTCGTCTATGAACAAACCCACAGAGCCTTTTTGTGTGAAATCATCATATGGCATATTGGGTCATGATGGCATTTACACAGAATGAAAAAAGGAGTAATAGGAAGTATGCAAAATTTACTTTGATATCCCCTTCAGTTAATTTCAACTTTTAAACATGTATAGTCCTCAGATTATAGTCTGGAAAATATGGTAACCTAACTGTTCGATCGCGCCAGCGTTCAGCATTCGTTTTTCAATCGTTTATGGGAAGAAACAAGAAATCCGAGGCCATCGCATAAGAAAGGTCAGAGCTTGGAAAAGGATAACACGTCATAATAAAAAGAAAAACTGCAATGTCCACCGCAGACCTCGAAGAATGGCGCGGAAACAGATTCTGCATATACCGACTTCATCCGTGAGATCGAAATAAACGGAGCATTTTCTGACTGTAATGGAACGTTTTCAGAATCGGAGAGCGTGTCGTCCCAATTTCCGTCCAACCTTGCGGGCCCAAAGAAGCCTCGCACCATCCGTTGGGCAGATGGTAAAAACGCTTTGTAGACGAGGGAGGCCACTCACCGGCCGACATTGTGGGCAGCACGCTGCTGGTCTCCTGGTCCATCAGGAAGGCGCTCTCCTCGTAGAACTGGCTGCAAAGAGAGCCTTCTTCACTCGCTACGCACGACGGGGCGACTGGACCAAAAGGGAGGCTGGCCATGCATGCTATTCAGAAAAAACTAATCGGTTCTAGTCTTAGGCAGAATCCGAAAAACAAAACAAAGAAGCCGACATGAAAAAAAAAAAAAAAAAAAAAATAGGCACTTTTTTGAGATGTGTGAGTGTCCTTTTTGTGTGTCTTTCGCGTATAAAGTTTACTCGTGCTTCCGATTCGTCGGCTCGACCGCACGCTCACTCTTCTTTTGGTCCCGGTTTCATTATTTATCAGCCCAGTCGAGTCTGTCGTAACCGTTGTTGTGTAGCCAAGACGAGATAAATACGCGGCCAAGATGGCAGTCGCTTTCTCCCATCCTCTTCCCCATCTCCCCTCGAAAGTGCACCGCACATCCGAGATGGCTGCGATGGAAGAGGTACGTCACCCAACGGCTTTTTGAATGCCCCCCAATTCCCGGAGAAAGGCGTTGCGATGCTGCTCCGTCAAAACAGAACGTTCTTCCAACGTCGCGGAAAAGGAGGGACGTCCGGACGGACCTAGGCACGTCCAGGAATTAGGACGGGATTCTGTTTTCTGCTGGCAATACCTCTCGTGCGGTTTCTATGTTGCGGCCACAGTGTAAAGTACTCTTTGTGTGAGGATGCGCAGCACAGCGAACGCTGAAACGCAATCGATGAGAGAAAGCCCCATTGGCACACGTTCAAGCAACCGCTGCCAATGGTGTCCACGCCGGCCAAACAATGCAACTACGAGAGAAGGAAAAAATAAACAAAAAAAACTTGCTGCGACATATGGTGTGTCCGATTTCTGCTCGGAATGTGTGCTGCAAGGTCGAGACGCATGCTCCTTAAAACTCCGCGGCAAACATTTCTCAGTCTCCAAGCATTGGTATAACTGTTCTTGTCAGCATAGAGGCACGGGATTGACAACGAAGCTTTGTCTAAGCAACAGATGTAAGGCAACTGCCAAGTTCTACGCAACACTTCTCACTCAGAAAAGGAGCTTAGAAACAAGCGTGTCTCTCATAGAGAAGCGATTAGCCCTGCGATAGGCTACCACCGGCTGCCGATCGAAATCCGGTGGTGCCGTGTGAGGCGAGGACATCACCTGGCGGCTGCGATGCTTGCAGTGTCCACACTCGTATACGGGGTATGTTTCTTAGTGAGGTTTGTTTTAAACGAGCCATGAAAGCTTCACCAATGCAGTGGAGTTACACAGACGGGAACGTAACACGGGGACTACTAATCGTCGCTATAAGTCAAATACAATAACTAGAACCTGTTCACTTAATTTAGTGAAAACAAACACGGTTCCAGCTAGAAACTTGCTGAGCGTCGTCGAAAACCACTAAATTCATACATTTCAAAAAGATTTGGTGCACATGGGGAGTTGCGTTTGTGCGTTAAGACACCGCTCGTGCAATGGGTGCAATGCTGGCGGCACTTAAATGCAGATGGTAAGAAAAAGAACAGCGCGTTTTCACATTGCCAGCCTCGCACCTGCGCTTCTCAACACAACTGTGCTTCCCACGTGCTCCGAGCCTTTCTAAGCCAAATCGAAACCGTACGTTTAGCTTCACCAATCAAAAAGTTAATTAACGAACGCTAGTTAATTATCCGATGTATCGCGACGATTAGCCTCCAATATCATGCCCCCTGGCCGTATAACTCACCTGCACAGACGACGTTGGCTTAGCCTTCGCAAATTTTTCTTTTTTTAAACAGTCCGTGAGGCCTAAAACAACACACCCCGTGTATCTCGCGCCGCGGTTCCCACAGGAGGACAAAATGAAGTCTGCCGTCCAAGGAGGATGCATCCGTGCAGTGTGCCCTACCAGTTTAAGATGAGATTGAGTGAGTGATTGGGGCCCCACCTGAGGTGTCCGGGGTCGGCCAGCAGCATGTGCATGTAGCGCTCGAGGGCGTGCTCGTTGAGGGCAGAGCGCAGCCAGGCCCGGCCCCGGCCCTCGTCGCTCGTCACGTGGCGCAGCACCAGGTACCGCTCCAGCTCGTGCTTCGTCAGGTGCGTGCGCACAAAGTGCCAGAACACTGCGCCACAAGGATCGCTCAACGTCCGCAGCTTCAAGACAACAAACAATGAGAATAGCTCACTTCACCACGTGAGGCCTAAGGAAAGAGAACTGTCCAAGCAGCTCGACCAATCCTTAGCTACCCCCAAGTACGAAGCAGTGGCGAGAAAAAAATGAAAATAACACAAGAAATTGTACGATAATATAATATCCCTCGAAATAGGCCACCTAAAAGCGAGAGCGGATCGGGTGAAAATGAGCAGCGGGCTAACTTTTGATCCACGATCGAGAAAAAGGTTAAAAATGAAATGTATCGTATTTTGTGACTTGCCAAACTTGTTTTTCCATTGAGGGGCAACGGAGCTGTCCCTCCCAGTCGGCTACGTTTGCTTACGTTCCGCCATAACTAACTAACCTTATTTCGACCGAGGTGACCATTGGCCGGAGCTCCGCAATTACTAGACGTGGGTTATCTTCGCAGATATTACCGTAGGTACTCGCACGAAAAAACAAGAAACGCGAGATTCCTGTTGGTACGTTCTCAATTGCTCAACCACTCGGTTTTCGGGAAACCGGCAAGGGAAGGCTCGCAACTGCTGATGACAGTGTGCCTCTCCTGCGAGGAGAGAAGGCAAACAACTGAGTGCTAGCCATTTCGCCGTTCCTATTTCAACATTTTTTCTTGGCTCACTTTTCACAAAGCCACAAACAAGCGGTTCTCACAGACCTTGTCTCGCAAATGTTGTGAAACCTTCGCTCTACTAAAACACAGTTCTGGGGTCGCCCGGTAGATGCAACGGCACGCCCGTGTGCTCTCGTCGTAAGAGATGGTGAGGGCTGGACTTTACGCGAGTGTGTGAACGAGGGTAAGGATGCAAGCCTTCTCTTCCTCCCAAGTGGCAGGAACGAGATGCAAACAGAGTATCCTCGGCAGGACCAAAAAAATCAAAACCGTAAACAACTTTGCGAGGACCTAACATTCGTGTATTTTGGCGCTCCAAAGATATCGCTAAAAAATTGGTCTCGCAAATGCATCGTTCATGCGGTAACAAATATGTACCGCGTCGCCCCAACTTGCGTGCCCACCAAATGTTTTCCAAACCCACACCTTTTAAAACTTGCGAAATACTAAAACCGCAAAAAAGAAAAGGTGTTGTTTTTTGGTCCCTTTTGCCGACGTTCCCAACAGATAGCTTTTTGCGACCGCTTGTTGGCGAGAAACTCCGGCCAAAAGCGCCAGTTATCCCGAGAAAAAAAAAAAGAGCACTTCGTGGTCCCTTTCTCAATGTTCCCAGTGGCTCTCGCGAGGAGCCCCCGCCCCAAAAAAGCAAGGTCGACGAACATATCTTAGCGCATATTTCTAAGAATTAGCAGACTCCTCTCTTAGGTATTTTAGAGCCATGCCTGAGCATACTCGGGCATTCTCCCACGGAGGTTTCAGCTTTCGTTTGCTCCCTACCTCTCTTAACTGGGCTGTCCGTTTTGGTTTTACGCACAGAGCGAGGTTTTATCTCGCAATGTAACGCCTGTTGACGACGCGTGGAAAGTTTCGTTCAGGAAACTTCTTCCTCCGTTTGCTCCTCCATTGTCCCGGAGAGCCAAATATATGTTGTTTAACCTCGCGCTTTATGGCAAATGCCGAGATCTAAAAATCAGTAATAATCACATTTAGTAATGAACAAACCAAGCAAATCCCAATTCCGAATAAGAAACTGTCGGTTAAGGCAACTACGAAAGAGTGACGAGGCTTGGGTGTCACTTTGCATAGTACGCTGTCTCAAAAAGTATAATTCGAGAAAATCTTCTAGTTTGGAGGCACGCAGATGTAAATTAACTTTTTAGCCTATAAATCTGTGCGTTTCGGATAAAGAAATATACTTCGCGAAGCCCACTACAGCTTTTATACATGGCACCGAAGACATGCAGGAAAAGAAGCTGTCACTCGAGGGATCAGCTACTTCTATGTGCATTCTGCTGTGGAACAAAACTGTTTTCATCTCGGAGATCACATTAATCTCCAAAATCAGACGTCAATGAGGAAACATGTTTGCGTCACTCATTTGCAGATGGTGCGTGAAAGGACGATGTTTCCGAGAGGGACGATTAGAGCTAAGAGCACAAACCACCGGCAGATTTTTCGCAGACGCTGCTGCGCTTCCCGATAACACTGCCAATGTCATCCGATTAACCACCACAGAGTACATGCACTCTGCATTTCTGCACAACAAAGATCCGCCACTGTTGCAGCGACCCATTGTTCTACTCGTCATCTGCTTGCCTTGTGTAACGGATCACGGGACGGTCGATACGATGCCGATAAGGAAGCAAAGAGTCACGTGCGAACGATTTTTTGACGCATTTACCAGGTTTCGGGATTGTTCGGAGAAGTTGCAGAGAGGCGAGATACCGCCCAATCTCGGGCGTGTGCGCAGCTATCTCTTCGCAAAGACAAGGAACCGAAAAAGAGTGAATGTTGCCGACAAAACGTTCCCATTGAGGAGCGGCGATTTCATTCAAAGCTTCGAGACTTCTCAGAAAGTTGCTGCACTTGTGCAGGATGTATTGGGTCTAGCATTATCGAAAAAACCAACACCAAATTAAAGACCCCGCAAAATTCTGATTTTTGACTCGGAACTGGCACTTGACCTCCTTTTTCAAAAGTAAGGCATTACTCGTTCGTAAGTCGTTAGTTTAACTAGTAACTAATAAAATGATTAGTTTACCGATATAGCCTTCAGGCGCATTAGCATCATTTTAGCTGGTCTGGCCATCACAAATGGTGATTATGTCTGGCAATGTCGATATCACAAGCGCCTCTTCGCGATTGAATGTGCAAAAGAAAAACCCATACTGCGCACGAAGACACGCAGCAATAGGCCACAGCTTGTCTCGCCGCAGAGAACGGCCCGCTCCAAAGTAGAAAAGACATTAGCGTGACATAGTAGTATTGGTAATTTACAGCTTTGCATTCAATCGAGATGCGCAGTCTCCCTTAGTAATAAACTGCTCCATCCATTAAAGTTGGGTTATTGTTTTGCCTAGCTCGCACACCCCATCTACTTCTTCCTTATCTCCACGCTGGCTGATTATCTGGATAGATTTTGCTCAAAAAAACATAGCACTCAAAAAGACCAGCGAGCAACAGAGCAGATAAGGCGGATAATGCGAGGCACTTTTGAGTCACCGATACTCCCTTAATATCCCAGCGAGATAACGGCAGGTATCTCTGCAAGAACACGAAGCACAATCTTTTGGCCACGTTTCTTTTCTGGATACGACGCCCAGCCTTTCTGCTTTAGAAGATTCGCTGTTTTTAATCTAGCCGCGTTCGAAAGTGGGTCGTGCATAATCTCGTAGGGGGGGCGTACGTACCGTAGTCCGAGTCGGCGTTCCAAAGATTGAGTCCCCTGACAATCTCCGACACCTGTCTGCAAGAAACAGAGAAATTGCACCCTCTTCTTTACAGACCCATTATTTTGTCGTGCCGCAGCGAGTGCGGACGTCACGAATGCTTTGATTTGCGCATAGGGAAAAAATTGTTGTAGAGTCGAACCCGGATAGATAGAGTTCAAAGGGAATTGCAAAATAGTTTGATATATTAAAAGTTTGATATACAAAAATATGTTAAATTAAGCTCGAGTTGAAATTTCCTGGCATCTCTGCTAATACCGAAGGTCGCGACAAATGGGAGCTTACCAAATAGGCATCCAAGAGCCGCTAAATATGGTAGAGCATAGTTGGCGGAGACCGCAAACACCGTCGCGCTTACACGCACGCTTGGCTGACTGACCGGGACGTCCACACGGCATAAGCGACAAAACACAAAAATAATTTTAGAAAAAAAAAGAAAGAAAAACGGAAAAGCAAGATGCATAAGAAAAACTCTCTTGATCCATAGAAAAAAGTTAAGCAAGCAACAAAAAAAGAGAGCTCACTAAATTCGAGCAGCAAAAAAAAATAAAAAAAAAAAAATGGGCAAAGTAATAATGGCAAAAGAAAAAGGTAAACAAAGATAAGGCATTCAAAGTATGATTGCAGAACTATTGTTGTCGACGCACTCAACTTGCCGAAGGCTGTGGCTATCGTTAATGACACTGGATGGCATTAAATCACCGAAAGGACCCATTGCATCGTCTGCACACTTTGAGAGGAAAGACCTTGGAAGCGGACAGGGAATGAAGGGGCACTGGATACCTGATGGAACTCAGGCCCTTGGATTTTTTCATGCCATGCTGTAAGACAGCCTCAAATTGAGTGCACAGATTCACAACCCTGGAACAAGAGAGGGAAAGCATTTGAGACAGAGGAATTACGAGGGCACAAGAGAGGTCGCAGTAAGCTACCGTAAAACACCCTTCTCTCCTCTTCTGAACTAGTACGACGCTCGTGTCACGGTACAGGTCGGCTGACGTAGAAACAAGGTCTACATTTTTTCTCGGCTCTTTTTGGGGCACGCCGAAAGTTGGGTCATTCCCTTCTTCTGCCCCGAAGGCAGTGGTGGAAGTGGCATTTCTCTTTCTACAGCAGGTTGTTGTACGAGGCAAAATGTTGGTTTAGAGCAGCCACTGAGCCTTTTGGGAGCAGATCTCATTGCATGTTAGCGCATCAAATTAAACGACGCTTGGACCACTAAATGAGTCAATCTTTGACAATAATTGAGAGCTCATCTTTGACACAGAGGTATATTACTTATTACCTTTTGCAATCATAATACACGTAAATAATCATAAAAAGTACAACATAACACGCAACTGTCTTTTTAGAAATAAGGCGCTGGTCAAAGTAGGTTCCGTTTATAATGGGGATTAAGATAAATGGTTTTGAAAAATGAATCGGAGAAAGATACTTCAGTTGAGATAAAGCATCTCTTCTACTCCATCTTTTATGCTCATAGTTGCCTGCCAATACCATGTATGTGAAATTAATAATAAAAACTAGCACATCCGCTAAAACCCAAAATGAAAAAAAAAAAAAAAAAATTTATTTCGCCAAGATTTATGAGTCTCAAGTATCTAAATCATAAACTGTGAACCCCCCTTCCTTCCCCAAATATTACCAAAAATTAGAGTTGAGCTTTAAAAGTGACGCTCCTAATTCTGCAAGACTTAGCGGCACTGGAGCCAGAGTTGAGTCAGAGTTTAGAGCCCTTTCAATCGACTGCTGCGTGGGAACTACCTCGCCTACCTATTCTCGGCACCGCTCTTCAAGATTAGAGGCCGACCTACAATCGAGACCAAAAGAGGCCGACCTGTAATAGTCCTGAGCATAATTTCCGAGGCCATCGCGCTAACCCATGGGAGTTCCCAGAACTGTGTGTAGAGAGAGCCTGGTCAATGGGAGGCATGGGCAGAGCCACCGCATGCACCAGACACAGAAAGCTTCTGGTTGCTTGCCCAACCAGAAGCCAAAAAAAATTCTCTAGCGGTGGTAGCAAGAAACAGTTTTAATCATGGGTATATGGTTTTAATAAGCACGTGAGAGTGAAATGTAGTAACCCTTGATGGTTGAAAATAAGGTGCACGTGTCGTTTCGATCATGATCATGCAGAAAGATGTAAGAAACGAATGTGCCGCTCAAACTCTATTTTGCATGAACAGAGTGTGACCGCTCGGACGGCAGATTTCCGGCACCTGGCGTACAGATTATGTCGATCGTACCGCTAGTTGCACTCTTCCACTACGATTTTGGATGACCGCGATTGAAACATCACGTGCACCATGTTTTCAGTCACCGAGAATTACTCTGATGCACTTATGAAGTTTATTTTTTAGACCACCGCCAGGGTATTATTTCTGGCTTCTGGTTGGCCACATTTGAATTTGTGAAGACGCCCTGGATCACGCCCAGCACTCTTTCGGCCAATGGCGCCTCCTGATTTATCTCCGATACTTCCCCAAACTCTCTACATATACAACTCTGGGAGTTCCCCTGCATAAGCCACTTCTCCTTACGCACCGGGACAATGCGGCGAAGCTCGTCGCATGTGCGCCAGTGCAAGGAGGTGAAGCTTGACGCAAAAGGCTATAGTGCAACGGCATGGAGGCATGTGGGCAACGCTCTGGTTCTGTCTTATCACAGCAGCCACAATGAAAGGGACACTGGCAGGGTATTAATGCTCGCCGAGGTTTTTATTTGAACGTGACCTATAAGAACCTAACTACCCGGAACATAGTTTACGGCTCGAAATTCATTTTCTTTCCGCCCAAAAACAGCCGGTCGAGAATTGGCCGGTTTCAGTCCCGCTCACTCTCTTTTTTATGGTCATGTGGCATTCCAACTATGTGTACCAAATATATTTCAAGTCGCAAATCATCTAAGGCACACATTCAATATTAAATATAGAAAATATTATGAACCCTGTTTTTGTGGCCTCCAAAAAACTGCAAATACGTTGACCGAAAAAAAAAGGTGTAGACGTCATTCTCAATATGGCGACGTGACGCGATGGCGGCGCACGATGGAGCAGCATTACGATGGACGTGGGGCCGCTACGTGCAAACTGTCGTTCGTGGTACCAGCCAATCGATCTTCAAACGCAGAACATTGAGCGAAACGAATACAGGTGCAAAACAATTGCGCAATAAACGATGCATGCAACTTTGTTGTCTGCTTCACATGGCAAAAGTGGAGAAGAAAAAAATGCAGTTGGGTGTAGCCACGTGATTTCCAGCCATGAGCTTTTGTTTCCATGTTTTGGTTTCGAGCAGTTGAGTTTTTTCGCTTTATTAAAAATATAGATGACTTTGCAGCAAAATATTGATTGGGTAGTCTTCTGCCACCATGTCAAATCGGCTGGCAAAAAATAAAAAAAAAACATATTTCGGGATGTCCTTTTAAGCCAGTTGAAAAAGAGTGAATGCCTCCTACTTGTTCTTGGTATTCTCTGGCACTCTCCACAGCCAACTCGCCCAAGTTCATTCCCTTCTGTGCAATAGCACCATTTTATTATGTTTTTCTCGCAACTTCTAGCTCCTTGACGTCGCCGACAACATCGCCTAGAATTTCAGACGACAACGACGTCAGCGTAATAGACGAGCTAGTTTTAGCTACCGTGAGTAGAGACATTGCGAAATCCATTTTTGTACCATTTCCCTTCGCTTCTCTCCCACATCTTTCAAAGTTAGTGTCAACTAATATTCAATTATTTTTTTTTATCTCATCCTGGCGCAGATGCGGCGGAATTTAGAGCAAAAATGACATGTTGGCGGGATACGTAGCAGACTCGCATTCATGGCCCAATTTGGCGCAGCACTTCCATCACTGCTAAGGGCAGTGACGGAAGTGGAAGGCCTTACGAGATAATACAGCAGCATGAGACAGAGATTGTACCACAGCTACATTTTGCGTTAAGCATAAAGCATCGCTGCACTGATTACGCTCCTCAAAGTCGATTGGCGACGAATATGCTCTTTACCGTGCCAATCACATCACTGGGATTACTGCAATCGATAGCTTTATTCTCCACACCGACGAAATGACCATCGCGAAAAATATTTGTCTGTGCCACATTTAGGCATATTATCATTGTTATCGCTGTTATCATTGTTACACTCCAAATAGCCACAAAGTGCAATTTGAATGTACCTAAATTGAGGCTTTGCTTCAGCACAGCTGCCTTTGAGTGCTTTGGAAAGATTGCTTGCCGTCGCTTGTGGACACCGCAACAAACAACCGACCGTCATGACGAGTGCCGCCCATTTTAGAAGCGAGTGAAAGAGTCTTTCGTCTCACCTGCTGTCACTCTCGGTGGCAAGTTCTTTTCTGCCGCCAAACCTGATCTGGCACTGGAAAAGAAACAAAATGTGCAAGAAAGCTGAATCTTTGACCGCAACATATTTGCACGTTTCCGCGCAACCGTGGACAGGAGTGAAAGTCAGAGGGCAATGCTCCCCCTCTAAAGCGTGCAACTACGGGTGCGACACACCCTCGCACATTTGTCAGCAAGCTGTCGAGCCCGGGTCGTGAGCACAATCGCTCGATCGACTCATTAAAACATTTATCCATGCTGCGAAACTGCCAGCGTAAAGGCCTTCAGGTTTGCAAAGCTGTCGATGTGACAGCTTTATTGTAGGCCTCCAGTATCATGTGCTTTATGACACAAATACACATTTTTATAACAGTGTAATCCACTTATAACAATAATGTGAAAACCCCAAAATTCAATCGTTATAACCGATTATCATTGTATCTGCACTAGGAAGTGATCGTTTCTAATCTAGAAACTATACAAACTGATCGCTCGTTATAAGCAGAAATTGTTATATGTGCTATCGCTACAAGTGGATTGCACTGTATTGTTATTATTATTAATATTGTTGTTATTAATATTATTAGAAGTGGAAGATAGTCAACCTGTTTTACAGCATCCAACAGCCTCGACAACAGGATCTGTCGGTCCGAGAGACCGCCTTCCTCTGGAACCAAAAACAAATTGTTAAAAATCAGAAAGCGTTTCGCACCACGGCGTCGTTAAATGGTTAAAGAAGGATGGGCACTGGCCGAGGTCTCAAACCCGGAGTTTAATGAGCACGACACATCTCATGGACGTCTTGAAAGGGTTAAAACGAGCGACCCTGCTGGAAACTGGAGCCCCTGCTCACATTGAGTGGCACGGTCAAGCTCAACGAGCTTCCATGCGCAGCACAGCACCCGAGCGAGCAGCTCGGGTGTTTTCTCACCAGTGCTCTTATGAACGCTGCGGAGAAGCTGCAACCTGGGGTAAAGATTTAGTGCCTGGGTGAAGCCAACTTTGAGGATAGAATCTAAGCAAGCATTTGTGAATGTGTGCAAGCAACCCATGAGAAGCACTGCAGAGAAGCTGAAGCCCCGGGGGTGGCTATGTGGGTGAAACAAACTTTAGCAAGATCTATCTCAAAGTTTGAACATCGATCCACAGTGTGACACCTTGTATTAATAATGAGCATGTTCGGTGTCCCCTTTGGAAACCAGTTTAACGTCATACAAAATTTGTGCAACTTGATAACGAACATGGTACTTGCTGCATATAGTAGGGGGCAGTTTTTAAATAGGTAAAATTGTTTTACTTAGGGTTAATTAAAAAAAAAGTTTTCCAGATGAATCACGCAGGCCTCGTGTTACCGTGACGGACTCGTGCCGGCCGTGTACTTTGAACAAGCCGAGTGGAGAATGAAATCGGCCGGAATAAACTGGCGCACTCTTTTGAATTGTTCCACGCTGCTCTATAAACGTCTGTCTCGAAAAGAGGCTTTGTGCTCAGTGGGTTGTTGCATCCACTTTGTTCTGCTCGCTCATATTGGACACTGCTCCTAATGCACATCCATCGCTTTTTACTTTCATTTGTGCAATTTCGATTTGGCATCAATATATATATCGTTTGTATATTGTCCTTTATATTCAGGTTGTGTTTTTACTGGTCAAGTTGGATTTTAGCGGTGTACACCTGACATTTTTGTAATATAAATGTCCAATAAACGAAATTGAAGAAAATATATAACACACACGCGCAATTATTACTTATAAAATAATTGTTAGGAAGCTAGTTACTCAATGAGATTTCAGCTGTTTCCACAGGGCAGCTGGAAGGTCTCGAACACACGGAGAACGTCCCAAAACTTCTGGGTTGCTAAATTGGCAGATTTATTGCATTAGAAATTCAACGTCCTCTAAACTGGCAGTTCACTTTCCCAGACGTCTTGTATAGGTAATGCATCATCGTTGGCCTAGAAGGCGCCGTGAAAAACTGTTTTGATAATGTCCTTTGAACAAGTAGGATGGAACCCAAGGAACAGGGTGGTTTGATGTCTGCTCCGAGCAGTCGGCGGAGCCCCATGGTCCCGTCGAAAAAGGATCCCGCACGGCGTCCTCCCACTACCGACTGGGTTCCGGTTACGCGCCAAGGATCACGCGACAAGTCCGGAGAACGCGCAGGCCGACCGTTTCGAGGAAACGAAAAACAAAGCCGCTTACCGTTCATGCTTGCAGGATGTTGAGCGCGCGTCCTGCTGGGACCCCTTGATCTGACACCTCTTCGGATCACATTGTCCGCGCGATCTGTTATCCGAGGTTATCTACAGATCATACACCGTGCTACTGACTCAGTGCCCGCGCACAGCCGACGTAGCCGTCGTATCTCCGATACAAACTGCTCCGTCTGCTAGGTCTGCTACTGCTGCGTGCGTTGCCATTTCGTCACCCCCTCGTTGCCCCTGGGCCCCCTGGGCAGAACAAGCGACAGACGCTGGCAGAAGACTGGCGCTGAACGTCACGTGACAGATGAAGGGTTTGGGCGGCGGCTTGCGCTACCTTGTCGCCGTTATGGTCCAACATGATGGATGGTGAACGAATGGATTATCAAGGAATGGGATAAAAAATTTAAACTTGGAACTTTAACCACACTTTAATAAAAGCAAAGATCCCGACGTTTGAGTGGTTTCAGGGCCAACTCTGCCCCTCGATTACGGGCGACTGTTTCTTTCCCGCGAAACGGCCTGCCCACGAACCCGAACACCCCCGGATGGGAACGACAATGAGAAGCTACTTGTTTATCATAGTTTTGAATTGACTAAATTTCTTTGCTGCTTAACATGATTTCATTTTATTTTTTATTATATTTTAATTTTTTCAAACCGAAACTGGACGTGAGCAAACATGCGAGATTTGACGAGAGTGGTTCGAGAACTGTCGAGATAGGTGGCGCTTGAAAACTTCCGGCTCCTTTTCTCATCTTGCGAGGTAGGTTGGTCGTTCGCGTCTCGTTCCCATCTCTGGAAAATCAAAGTTAATCTGTATAATTTTGGCTTTGACGTTTTAATTACGCTTCAGAAAACTATTGCGGAGTGTTCTCTTTGTCGCCTGGCTGCATTATTTTAACATTTTTGAATTATTGTTTTTTCACAGGCAAGATGGGACGCCGTCCGGCGAGATGGTAAGTTTTTCCTGACATCCGGACGTTCTCTTTCCAACTTGCATTTTTAGCGAATCGAGAATGTGCCCTTCAACCTTTTATTATTTTTTTTTCTTCCGCAGTTACCGCTACTGCAAGAATAAGCCTTACCCCAAGTCGCGCTTCTGTCGCGGTGTCCCGGGTAAGTTGACTCGTAGGCTTAACAGCTTGGACACGTTTCTGCCGACATTTCGCGGCACCTTGTCCAGAGCACTCCTCGGTTTGGAAAGCCTGTCTGCCGAAAATGACGTTTCCAAGTGAAGTGGAAGAAGTCGGCGGCTTGCAGCTAACGCGTGGCAGAAGTGTAAAGTTTACGTTGACCGTTCTTATTGCGATAGTTTCCGGCATGTACTACCTCGCAGCGAAGTTCAACTAACGTCGTGTAATTCGTTCAGTTGCATGCATAAAATCTCGATTCGGAAGTAGGACTCTTACCTTGGGTCCTCAGTCACTACCTGGCTCGAGGCTTGAAAGCCAGTTATTCTCTGTTAAACGCTGAAAACCATTGTCATGCAAGACCACCTTTTTGCCTCATTTCTAATCTGCGTGCAATGTTTGCACCCTGATTTATTGGGCCAAATGTTGCTGGGCATATTTCGAAACCTGCACCCACTGGCAGGGCTAAAATCGCCATACTGCTCCAAGTATTCCATGCTAGTCCACACCAGGCGGTACCACCGTGCAATCGAGGTCGATTTGAAGCCCGTACACACTTGCACCTATACTATGGTGCCTGGATCGCGTCTCTGACTGGTGTGTTTAGCGTCCTATCCCGCCCATACATCAAAAGTGGTCCCCAAGTGGCAACAAATGACGTCACAGAAGCGGAGTGCCATGCTGTTGCATGTCGCGATTCTGGTGGTTTGCCGTAGAAATGCTGGCGAAAAGCACGAGCGAACGCGAGTGTCGCTGTCGTCACGGCGTCCCAACTTCCTGCTGCTGCAGCTTCCGTGGACTGTCAAAGTGAAGAGCGACCTACAGCAGAACAGGCGTCTACCATATACACCACAACTGTTGGAACGCCGCCAGGATCGCGACCGGCGACAGCATGACAGTTGTATGACATCAGGCAGAAATCAAGGGACCACTTTTTTGGATGCGGTAAACATACCAGTCTGAGACGCGTTCTAGGCACCATACCTATACTTCGCTTCACCTGAAGCCCGAGCTCGGCCAATGCTACGAGCTGGTGGGACTGATCAGACAGCCTCAGAAGTGCACCATCATGGTGTTCCTAGTGTTTCTGTATATGTTCTATCATGGCTGAACCAAGTATACACCAACTCATGTTTACAAACAAACCGGAGCGCCCCTAGCGGACGCCACCGGCGCCGCGCATGCGCAATGGGGGTGTGGGCAAGAAGCTCGCCGTCGCCCATAAACAAACCATTGAAATGCGATGTTGTCGGTGTGAGTCCCTGCGTTCTTTTTGGCGTTCGCGTTGTTGATTCTACGCCCTCCTAACAATGTCTGACCACTTGAGCGGCGTCAGCAAAATTACCGAGGCTCGTTACACCGCAAAACTTCGCGTGAATCATCTGACATGCGGCGATTCATTCCGCGTGGACGTCGCAGAATGTACGCTAAAGCCTGATTCACATGATGAAATTTTGCTCGCAATTTTTAGTAGCGACGTCGCTTGGACTGCAAAAGCGTGAACCGTAGCGGAGATGTCGACGTCGATACTGAAAATCGCAAGCAGAATCAACCAAATGAATCGGGCATAACAAGTCGGTGATGGCCACTGGTAACAATGATCAACATCTCCATGTATCTACTGTTTACGTCCGGCCTGCTTAGCAACCTTCAAACTTAAGTCTTTCGAGGCCTGCACTTACTTCTTATCGCAAGCGCCAGGCCCACGTTTGGTCTACAAGCCGGTGTCATCTAAAAGAGCAGACAAGCAGAAACGTTTGAAAGAGTAGACGACAGTTGGAACGATCAGGCGGCCGTTTGAACTTGAAGACACTCTGAACTTAGTCCGCAGGTGGTCCATACAACTTGGCGGTTTTCCAGCGTTCATGTTAGAACAAAACAAATAAATCTGATGACCACAAGTATCCGTCAATTCAACCCAAAGTGCTTCCTGCCCAAGCAATCGTGGTCTGACGGCGTCTGGTTTTCCTTTTTCACGGCACATATCCGCGTTCTCGGACGAACCGAGCGCATGAAAACTGACCTTCAAATCTTTCTCGACACTTTTAATACAGCCCCAGTCGCAGCATTTTGACGAGAAGGCAGGATTTTGTCTGGTTCCCTTCAAAACAACGCAGGAATACGCATCTCACATGGGCACTTCTGCCCACAGCCCCGGGACCGGAAGCGCGGCGTGACGCAACTGATGAGTTTGTGTATAGACAAAAAAAAAATTCCTAGTGACTTGCACTTTTGACCTGCTTGACTGGTCCCATTACTTCCTAGTGTCTGGACTTAAAGGGATGCTGAAGCAAACATTTCAGTGTCTATAATAAGTGGTCAGCACCACGAGTCAGCAGCTGCCAGCAGCACTTGAGTTCACTCTTACTTTTTATCCGGACTTGTATAGCACCAGCAGCCGGCATTACGACATCCTCCTTTGTTGCCGGGACAACTTTGGATGGGAGACGTGTTGCAGTCGGTGTCTTCAGGCATTGGGGGCCACGCTTAGTTTCCATTGTTCGTGCAGACCCGAAGATCCGCATCTTTGACCTGGGCCGCAAGAAGGCCAAGGTGGATGAGTTCCCTCTGTGCGTGCACCTCATCTCCAAGGAGTGGGAGCAGATCTCCTCGGAGGCCCTGGAGGCGGGCCGCATCTGCGCCAACAAGTACCTGGTGAAAACCTGCGGCAAGGACGCCTTCCACCTGCGCATGCGCCTACACCCCTTCCACGTCATCCGCATCAACAAGATGTTGTCCTGCGCCGGTGCTGACAGGTGGGGAACCGCGCTTGTTCAATGCCCGACTGCCACCATCAACGCGGATTGCATTTGGGGGCGGTGGCGAAATTGTGACGTTAGAAGGGTCTGATGAGTCTGTCCGTAAGAGCTCCTAGAACCCCCAAAGTTCTGAGCCCAACACTATCGCTGTAACGAGGAAAGGCTGGAGCTGAGAGATATTGCGGGGGGGGGGGGGGGGGGGGGGGGGGCTAGGGCTATATCAAGAAATAAGGGAACCGAAAATTAATCTTAGACAGCACAAAATGCCACGGAGCAAGACATTCTCCATATGTTGAGCGAGTTTATCCGTAGGATCTAAGTGAATCGTGTAACCTTTAAAGATGTTGTCGAGAAATTTGCTTGGTTTGTGATGGTCCTCTGAAAATTGGTCAGGGTGGATCCTTTTCTGGGGTGGGTCTTCAGAGTGAGTTTTCTATAGTTTGAGCATGCAGGTGGGTGTACAAAGTTTCATGAACTGCTAAAATCATTGGGAATGGGTGAGTTCTTCACTTAATAATTCACAAAGGCACTCGAATGAAGTGTGCTACATAAGGGGGATCTGGTACAAGAAAGTGAACAGGTGTTCACTTTCTTGGACCGCGCTAACCTGGATTGCCAGGTTAAGAAAGGTGGGACCTTCTGCCAAGTCCCTGTAGCGAAGTCTCTCACCTCTCCGGCGTTCGCTCTGCTGTACCCATTTGCAAGTCCAGCTTCCAGGCGCCGCCATCTTGCACGATTAGGCCAGCTTCAGACGGGGCAACTTTTCTAGCAATTTTGAGGTTGCTGACGGGTTTTTCCCTAGATTGACACGAATTGCTGAGATTGGGTCCGGCTCGAACGAGCGAGCAACACGGAGCAATTCGAAGACGTTTGAAACTGCTGCAGCCAATCGGGGACGCAATATTTTCACGTGACACCCCTGTGGTGGTGATGATCACAGTTATAAACTTAGTTCTGGTTTGAAATGGACCGTTTTTGGAAATAAACCTTTTCAGAAAGATGAGTTAGTATTTTCAACACAATTCAAAGATATAAAAACACGTTTTTAGCGCGTAGCTGTGCGTCTAAAAAGTGTAAGAAAAATCAAACTGCATGATGATGATGGCAAGTTGTAGCAATTCGGTTGCTGCGTGTGAACGCGGGCAGCCCGTGTTGCTGGAGTTGCTACGTCAAGTTGCTGGGCGAAATTTTCCCGTCTGAAGCTGGCCTTAGGGGTGCGCTTGGACGCGTCAATTCGATTACGAGGTCTCGGTACAGCGTCATACTTGAATTATGGCCGTGCCCAAGCACACCCCAGCTGATCAAGATGGCGGCGCCCGGAATTTCGAACTGAAGCAGTCTAATGGCGCTTGCAAAGAAACTGGTTTTTGGGTGGAAAGTGTGGAGGGCTTTGCAGGAGCTTGTCCCGCTTTTCTTAACCTGCAGATGGGTTGTTAATAATAAAAAGATTACCCCTACCTCATTTGAACGGCCTGCTTTTGGTGATTCAGTGATGTGATTGCTGTGCCAAAGTACTTGCCCCGCTACCGTTTTGCAAACAGGTATTTGCACCAACATTGCAACAAAGCTTATTTTCACTTTATTAGTGCCGAACATAAAATAAATCGGGTACATGGCCACGTTGTTACTGTAGGCTAATGTGAATTTCCTTTTGTTTATTGTCTTATATGACATTCGATTTTATCTCTTTATCATACATTGACAGTACCTGGAAGCTTTGCAATGTTTGCTCGTCTATTCTGACTGGATAACCAGTTGTTGCGTGCGGGTTATCCAGGCGAAGCAGATCATGGTGTCGCTAGGGGTGTCGCAAACTTTTGTCGGACCAGATTTTTTGGTCGAACTTTCGGGGTTCGACTGGGTCGAACCGGTTCGACGAACCTTCAAACTTTTCACCAGATTCGACCGGTTCGACTTTGTGGACAGTGTTGCCAGCCCTTGGCACAAGCATGTCTAGGTTTGGAGAATTTTTTTTTTATGCAAATGGTCATTTTATTTTGTGAACAGCTGCAATTAAAAGAAACTAATTCTAATCACTGAAGAAGTGAATAACTTAATTTTTAGTACTGTATTACCTGAAATAGCCAATCAGCGCTGCACTTAATTCATCTCTTAGCCATTACCATCCAATCCGAAGCCAACTGGCCAGCTTGTCGCGCATGCGCACACGAGTCGAACCTCAATACAAGGTTCGTCGAACTTTCTACTAAAAGTTCGAAAAAGTCGAACCTGGTCGAACTCCAACCGCGGACGGTTCGCGACACCCCTAGGTGTTGCCACATTGTAGGTGTCGCAATTTTGCCTGTCGTGCTTCGCCGCAGCACACTTGAATGCTGAGGTGAAAGCGCTTCCCCAAGGCATGATGTAACGCACGGTTTCTGAGCAGAAATGTGGCCAGCATACCGTAATATCCTGAGAGATGCCCCACCTCCGAAATATAACCCACCACTATGTTTGGCCTAATTTGCTATTGTTTTTTTTTTTTTTTTTTCAATATCATTGAAAGATGGTTTATTTTGAGTAATTGTAAGGTGACCTTGGCAGAAATTGCATTACTTAGCCACAGTGAGGGATGAACACACCTTGCTGACGAACGTCCCTGCAATCATAAGTTTCGCCGGTCACAAAATCTAAACCTAGCTTTTTTTTTTATATAGCACCAAAAGTTGGCCCAATTTTTATTTTCACCCGCTTTGCTTTCGCTTTTAGGTGGGCTGTGTCTCTGGATATTACAGTGTATGATGTCAATATTTTGACAATACCTTTCTCTTGTTCAAAATTCATCTTGCAATACTTCTCTGTATTGCAAGAAAACTTATGCTCTGTCCTACGTGTTTTTTATGTCAAATCTTGTTTAGTCTTTACCTTTATTTAGGTTCCGTCCGTGTGACAGCGCAGTGAATACGGAAAATTAAACTGGAGCAATCAATCTATGCAAGTTTGAGAATAACCTGAACATGTTCGGGGGGATTTATTTTAATAAAGCATATTTATTGTTTACAGGCTGGTTTTTGTTAAACAGTTCTGCTTATAAAATGTCATTGATGCGACATTCAGATTTATGAATAAAAATGGAATGTGTGCTTATGCCCCAAAAGTACTTTTTGCTGCTCCAAAAAGTGCTCTAAAATTACTCGGACCAATGGTGTCTGTGAAGATTTCACTGAGCAATAGTTTTGGTCAAACACTGATTTGCACGTTTGTCCTACATCGGTATGTGATTGTTCTGCTCTGAAATGAGATGTGGCCGTTTTATGCGAGTTCGTATTTCTCGAATTTTTATTCTGGAATAGAAAAATGTGTAATGTAATTGTAGTAGTCCCTAATAGACCTTTTGTGAAGTGCACACAATCTAGTTGCTACTGCACCAATTATCTGCCATTGTTTAAGCACATACTCTGGGCATGTAATGGGCACCAGCACAGCATCTGGAGAGGACAGTGCCCGAGGAATGTTGCACACTTTTGAAGTTGTCTTGTGGCGGCCTGCAATAAGCCCGTTCTCCCCCTGCAGGCTGCAGACTGGGATGCGAGGTGCCTTTGGCAAGCCCCAGGGCACGGTGGCCCGGGTGCACATTGGCCAGAAGATCATGTCTGTGCGTGCCAAGGAGGCCCACAAGGAGAATGTGATTGAGGCCCTGCGCAGGGCCAAGTTCAAGTTCCCGGGCAGGCAGAAGGTGCACGTGTCCAAGAAGTGGGGCTTCACCAAGTGGGAGGCCCCGGAGTACGAGGCCATGCGTGCCGACGGCCGGCTCAAGCCCGACGGCTGCTACTGCCACTACCGGGGCAGCCACGGGCCCCTCACCAACTGGAAGAAGATCCAGCGGGAGCTGCGCGAGGTCGACTAGGCTGCACTGCCTCGGGAATAAAGGGATTCTGCACCCGTCCCTCCTCTTTGTGGGGCCCAAAAGCCCGCTTTTCAAATGCCCTGTTTGTCTAAGGTCAGGGGTCTTGAAGAGGGAGCTTCTGGTTAACCTTGGAATGGTGTACAGGCATTTCACTAGAAGGCCTTGCTTCTTCAGGGCACTGAAGGAGCTAGGTCTAATGAAACTGCATGCTGTTTTGAGGTATACCAGAAGCCCTAGCTTAGACAAATGGGCCGTCCGGTGAAGGTTAAAGACTGAGAGTCAGGCACGTACGGGGGGGGGGGGGGGGGGGGGGGGCGGCCTAACTTCCTCCCTCCCCTCCCCAAAAAAATCTTCCATTTTGCTGGGGCCTCCTCCCCCCCCTCGCCTCATACAGCATACTGTCATGGGCGGGCCCCTCCCGAAACAAAATCCTGACTACGTGCCTGGCGGGAGTCAAATGCGCTTCAAGATATTAAAAATGCAAGCACGACGGGACACAAAGTAAGATATACGCCGACTATGCATGGCTTGCACGTGACGTCATTCAAAGGGCGCTCCGATGACCACCAGAGAGGAGGGCGAGAAGGAGCTCCGCTCTTATCAGGGCCCCCTTTTGTGCCGCCCGGATTTGCCCAGTCGTCGCTATTCTCCCCCAGAAAATTTTAGATTAACCCGTCACTCAAAATTCTTACAAAAGCAGCTTCCCTCTCCTCTTACATGGAGGCCAAAAATATGCGACGTGACGTCAGTGCAACCTATGTGTACTCGGCGACAACTTTTCTTGGCAATTCAGTGGAAGGCACGTCCCGCGTCCCCTCCCATTTTGAGTGTACGCAGGCTCCTCTCCCCTGAAATTAGGGAGGAGGAAAGCCTGCGTACACTCAAAATGGGAGAGGGGACGCGGGACGTACCTTCCACTGCATTGCCAAGAAAAGTTGTATGGGCAGGAGATTAAAAACAGCGCGGAAAGACGAGGACCAGACAAAGAAGTGACACGGACGTAGCGCTGACTTACAACTGAGTTTATTGAACGCAAGCTCGCAATATTTATTTGCGGTGTCACGAACAAAAGAACATAAAAAATTCAGCCCATGTGATGTGTCACCAATAAAAATAAAACAATGATAAAAAACATTGAAAAAATAATAATGAAAAGCGCCATGACACAGCCGTACAGAGTATGTGCTAAAAATCTTGCAAGTCACGGAACCAGAAAATTCATCTCTTTGCCTGATAGGGCCACAGAAGGACTGCTTACACATGCTGCACCCAACCTCGCTATCTCAACAGCCTCTAGAATTTCCCGAGTAAGCTGGTCCCTATGACGCTTAACAACCTCACACCGTTGGAAGTCGGGAAGGCAATCACAGTCGCGGCAATGAATGCCCAGGTGACCAGACACGGTTGTGGAGACACTGTAAGCGTGCTCTCTCAACCTGTCGTTGAGACAGCGGCCCGTCTGGCCAACGTAGCGCCTGCCACACGTCAGAGGGAGAGTTTTTAATTTCCGAAGTATGTACCAACTCGCCCAAGCCTCAACTTTAGCATGGGCAGGAGATCGAACTATTCGGGAGGAGGACAGACCGTGACGCCCCAAGCGGTTAACCTAACAACTACACGGATGGGGACAACAAATACAATGATGCAGCGTTCGGCTGGAGTTCGTGTTCTCCGGCGAGGGGGAGGAGGGGCTGTTTTGTTTCCACTACGGCCTGCATGAACAATGCAGCGTGCACGATCCCAGCTCATCACAAAAGCCGAAGTGGGTCAAGCTCGCATTCTCTGAGGATAGATCCGGCACTTAAAGGGGCGGTGCAACAATTTTCGGACTTCGGTGAAAGATTTCTGGAAGTTGCCCCCTGACACTTCTGAAGTAAAGAACAGAAAACCGATTTCGCCTGCGTGTCCTAGTTGTTGCGTAAAAAAAAGATAAAGATTGGCATTTCGGGCACCCCTCAACTCACTCCCAGTCTTCAGGGTCACACCTGGTCGCACTCCCAGTGACGTCATTCGGAGTGCCGTGTAGCTTCCCGTGTGCTATCTCGGAGGACGCTTCCCCTCCCTCTCTCAGCGTACATTAGCGGGCGCTATGCTGCAGCTTAGAGCCGAGCGAGGTCACGTAATCTTTCCGCCGTAGTTCCTTCGGCTGCCACTTGGGGCTGCAGCTGGGGGAAAAAGTTCGACTTTTGCTTTGCGATTATGCAGCGGAATCGCGACATTTTTAATAAAGGAAGTGTTTTCTCTATCCTCTGGGATACGATAAACAACGTAATAATGACGAGATGCAAATTGTTTTAATCATAAAATCGTTGCACCGCCCCTTTAACGTCGCTTCGTCGATTGTTAGTATTTTTTGTATTAAACTGCGGCCCGCGCTCTATTGTAGAAGATGACATGGCCATGACCATAAGGCCTGTCGGCATGTGCACAGGCCTTGTGTTGAGTAAACACCAAGCGTGGGGAAAACAAATAGAGTGCCTTCATACACACGCGCGCTTTTGCTTGAGTGGTGACATCTCAGCCATTTTTCCGCCCAATCGTTTTTTTATGCATTTCGAAGTGCGCGCAATCCGGTGTCACTCAGCTCGAGCGCGTAGCTTTGGCTAATGCATAGACGCCATTTTACCACCCAAGTCACGCACCGAGTGCGCGAGAGCGTCACGCGCTGGCACATTCAGGGCAACAATGGATGCCTTCACCCTGAGACAGACAGACATGTAGGCACCCTAAAAACAAACGGGTCAGAGCGCCCCCTATAGTTCGATCTCCTGCCCAATAGGGGGCGCTCTGACCCGTTTGTTTTCCCCACGCTTGGTGTTTACTCAACACAAGGCCTGTGCACATGCCGACAGGCCTTGTGGGCATGGCCATGTCATCTTCTACAATAGAGCGCGGGGCGCAGTTTAATAAAAAAAAATACTAACAATCGACGAAGCGACGTTAAAGGAGTCATGAAACGCTTTTTCAACTTTTTTCTGTTTAGCTTTCCTCCACAACTCATAAATCAAGCATTGCACCAAACAGTTCCAAGAAGTCGGAAAGGGGGGAGTCCCCTCTTGCTCGGAATCTCGCTTTTGTAGCCGGACACAGCTATTGTCCCCCTAGAAGATTAGCCCGTCGCTCAAAATTCCGACTAGTTGCTTTCCCCACCCCGTTCACCCCGAAGCTGACAGCGCTGTGGAAGCTACGTGCTCGTTGGGCCAGCCACACATTTTCCACGTGATCACGCTCTCTCGCACATACCGACCCGCAGAGAATGAGGTCAGGTGATGAAAGGGAAGCGGCCGATTGGTCCGGCAAGCGCGTAGCTTCCACCGCAATGTCAGCTTAGGGGTAAAGGGATTAAGTGAGGTCCGGTGTCGTGTGACGTGCGCTTGGGCCCCGGTGACGCGCTGCGGGGTCCCGGTTATGGTGGCTAGTAGCCCAGTGACGCGCTGCGGGGTCCGCGGATGTATCACAGTGAAAAGGCGGAGAGTTTACGAAGGGAAGGAGCTACGAAATAGTCCGCTATGTTTTGCAAATTTTCGTAGCGAAAGTCAGGCTTCTGACTCTCTACCTTTGTTCTTTTGGCCCACTGACCGATGTGCTATTAGTAAAATCCCAATATAAATTGATTTACTCCAGCCCGAAATTCGTTTCATGGGTCCTTTAAAGGGGCGGTGCAACGATTTTATGATTAAAACAATTTGCATCTCGTCATTTTTACGTTGTTTATCGTATCCCAGAGGATAGAGAAAACACTTACTTTATTAAAAATGTCGCGATTCCGCTGCATAATCGCAAAGCAAAAGTCGAGCTTTTTCCCCCACCTGCAGCCCCAAGTGGCAGCCGAAGGAACTACGGCGGAAAGATTACGTGACCTCGCTCGGCTCTAAGCTGCAGCGTAGCGCCCGCTAATGTACGCAGATAGAGGGAGGGAAAGCGCCCTCCGAGATAGCACACGGGAAGCTACACGGCACTCCGAATGACGTCACTGGGAGTGCGATCAGGTGTGATCCTGAAGACTGGGAGTGAGTTGAGGGGCGCCCGAAATGCCAATCTGTATCTTTTTTTTACGCAACAACTAGGACACGCAGGCGAAATCGGTTTTCTCTTCTTTACTTCAGAAGTGTCGGGGGGCAACTTCAAGAAATCTTAGACCGAAGTCTGAAAATCGTTGCACCGCCCCTTTAAGTGCCGGATCTGTCCTCAGAGAATGCGAGCTTGACCCACTTCGGCTTTTGTGATGAGCTGGGATCGTGCATGCTGCATTGTTCATGCAGGCCGACTGGAAACAAAAGAGCCCCTCCTCCCCTTCGCCGGAGAACACGAACTCCAGCCGAACTCTGACGCCACGTCCGGTTATGTCGGCCGAACGCTGCGTCATTGTATTTGTTGTCCCCATCCGTGTAGTTGTTAGGTTAGCCGCTAGGGGCGTCACGGTCTGTCCTCCTCCCCAATAACACCTTTTTGCGCTGTTTTTTTTTTTTTAATGTGTTCAACGAACCAGCCCATCGAGCTGGTTGTGGAGACTGCAACCATACGAATATTCGTTCGCACGATGTGGAGCCACAAAAAACGTGCCAAAATCCTCGGTGTTGCGTAGTGTGTACGCGCTTACATTTCTTACGTGCAGGGCGGTGGCATTCCGTTGGTCGAACGACGTTTTAACGAACGCGAACTTTTTATCGCAATACACGGCGTTTACGGGTGGGCCAAGTGGGTTCAGATTTTTGTAATGAGCCGTCACAGACTGCCGCCGCGACTTCACAGCGCACAAAAACAACACACTACAAATTTTCGTTTAACCAGTCAAACGCGTTCTAGCATTGGTTCTAGGCATCATGGTTTCGGTTTCGCTGTGTACTGCTCCCGTGGATATTAGCCAATCCAATCCAGTGGTCATTTCGTGCTTCATTCTGCGATCTTTTGTTGAAGTGGTTTGTGCGGCGCCGTTTGGTAGTGTTCTCGGTTTTAAAATTATGTCTCGAGATGAATTCCGAGTCTCTGCCGTTTGTGCTGACCAAGAGCGTGCTCTGTGAGTCTTTTCCAAGCCGCTCCAATGCGAAATCCGGAAGCCGAGGTGTCATTTCTTACTTGTGCCGGATGCGGGTATCTGGAAAGCGATTTGAGACTGTCTCCACTCATCGGATGGCCGGTCCATCGCTTCCCCCTGAATCAGTCGAGCGTTCAGCCGTGAATGTCCAGGTTGGATCTCGTGACGGGCTGATAGAGCGGCAGCTAGCGTCGCTAGGGGTCGAGGAGGCCAACACGATTACCAAGTGCTGCGTGCCCGGAGAGCTGAACGAGTACGAATGGACAATCGCTCGATATGAATGGATACTGCTCATAGCGAAAGAAACCACACAAAAGCGAGGAACGGGCAAGGTCTCACAGCGTTGGTTACATTTCTTACTCGGGCATTTGTGGTCGAGTCACTGCGTGTTTGTTTCAGCACTGGTGTAGGTTTACACTGTTTGGACTCTGAACGGAACGTCAGCGCGTGTTGATATTTAACCACGCTTCAAATGAGGTTGATGTTAGCTCATCCCTCATAGGCAACCAAAAACGTAAAAAAAGAGAATTAATTCATTTTTTTCGCCGTCTTCGGTAATGATTTTAGCCTGCCGCTTTTATTGCTCGCCTTATTTTCAAGCCAGCCTGCCTGTTTCCTTCACTTACAAAATCACTTCAATGATTTTGCCGAAGTAGAGGCTCGGTCCCAAACGACTGCAATTCTTTTGCGTGAAATTCCTGTGTCCTCATTACATGACTCCTCCGTGTTGTCACAGACCTTGTTTGGTTCAACCAACCCTCGAAATCTTCCTATGCCTCCTATTGGGACTCCAATCGCAGACGGCAGCATCTAATCTCCCCCAACGTTTCTACAAAAACAATCAGAAATAAACAAAACAATATGCATGCCGTCATCATGGTAACCACTAGGTTAAGGGGGAGGGTGTGACAAGCGTCGTCCCTCCTCTCTCTCTCCTTCTCTCACCCTCGGCGACAACAGGATGCAAGTCCATTCGGAATTCGGAGCAGCCTCCGAACTCCAAACTCCGAATGGGCTTGCATCCCATTGCCGCCGTCTCATTCTTCTACAAAACAATGGAATGGCAATATTTTTTTTAGAAAAACAAGTGTTTACCTTTTTATGCGAATGTCCTACACTTCCGGAACGATTGCACTTGACTTTGCATAGCTTGATTGAGATCTGCTCAGCAACAGTGCATGTTCAGTGACCAGCCACTTCTCATTATATCCCCAATCAATGAGTGCAAAGTGTGCCCAGCCACTGGTGTCTCGCGGCTTCAGATGGGCGCACATTGCCAGCCTCAGCGCAAGTTTAAACTTCTTTTGCAAGTTCTTTTTTTATTAGGCACACTCTTTAGACAGAAAAAAACATTCACTTCATGGCACAACGAAGTAACAAAATCAACACGAAACTACTATTCAAGTATTTACAGACCTGCAATCACACATTCAACTTTGCTGTAATTAGCGACAGTGATTCGATCGCCCCGGTCTCTCGCAGGTTCCTTCTGCAGTGCGCACTGCTCCACGAGCTGCAGTGCTCTATTCATATAAATGCCCTGTCCCTTCTGACCTTCTACAATAACTCTACCATAAAAGAAATACACTCTTTTGTGACTGTATTTCTTTCCTTTTCCATTTCTTCATCCTCGTGGCTTTTGTGCCGTCACTTGATGCCACTTGGAGACCACTTTCGATGCATGGGTGAAATAGCAGGCCAGCAGTCCGAGATCCATTGCAGGCACCGTACTGAAAGTGTGACCATCGCCTCGTAACCTGCATGTTCGGCCAGTACTCGTGCCCCCGCCAACTGCCGGTCGAAGGTCTGCGGAGGGTGCTTGAGCCTGGTGTGGAAACTGCAGTACCGCACCCCGACATTGAGCCTTCCTCGCAGGTGCCGGCATCCTCGAGTTCTTAGGATTCCCAACGGGGCCGTGTTGCCAAGGCACTTCCGAAGCTGTGACATGTGTCCGAGTAATTCCTCAGCTTCACTGGTTTTCCCCCTCTTCTCCCTCTCCCCCAGGTTCTGGTGCTAGAAGGAAGCCACTCCGCTCGTCTTCAAGAGGCGGAGAATTCATTCTTTGGCCGTCTTTGGGGTGCCTAGCTGCCGACCTTGTGAGGGCTATGGCAGGTATTTGGTGACGGGACTTGCCGAGTCGCCCTCGTTCTTAAACAGTGTCCAGGCCATGTCTGTTTTCGTTTTTATTTTTAGCTGACAGCTGCGTTTGAAGCTCGATTGCTCGAGTGGTGTGCTCTTCTGCGAAGCAAATTATGTGGAGCGATTCTGTCCGTCATACTCTCGGTCCGAGTGTTTAAGTGGAGTGCAATTGTCAAAATGTCAGTTTGTTTGCTGCCTGTCCCGCATATTTTTTCCTTTTTTTTTTGCAGCCTGGGAAGGTGGAACTAGGAGGAAGAACTGCAGTCCAGTTCATTGACCACCCGCTGCGTGCTTCCTGGATGGATGGATGGATGATATTGGCTATGCCCTTCGTAACGGACAGTAGCTTGCACCACCTAGCCTAAGAAAATGCTTTCCTCCCCCACTTTAACGCCCGATTTCTTTCTCTCTACGTCCCTGCAACTATCAGCGGGCCGGAGGGAAAGAATCACCAGGCTGACCTGACCTGCTCCGTTATTACTCGGCGTTGCAGAGTTCCTCCCCCATTCTGCAATTGGGCAGTTACGTGTACTACTACCCTTTCAATCATTGGTTTCAGCGTGGATTTGAAATGGTGGCAAAAAGCACTGCTGCGATTATTAGTCCATGGTTCGTTATAGAGCTTCTCAGCATTCTTTCCTTCGAGCTTCTCCTATGGTGAACCTTGGTGCGAAATGTCAATGGTCCTCTGTCACAATGAACATCATCCCCCTTTTTATAGCAGTTGTCTTTCTGTATGTGCTTACGTGTTTTCCTAGTCCAGTGGAGATGGCAAGTATAAATGCCATGCAATTACACTTTCAATTAGCATCATTTGCACACATACCCATCTGCGAGTATGGCGCCCTATACCTGACCGCTGCAGTGCAGGCTGCAAGCATGTGTGTGCCGCCGTAGGAATGTGGTCGCCAGCTCGCCGACTCTACTCTGTCTTAGCTCAGAACGGACGGCAAAGAATGCTTGGAGCCCCCGAAATTGGTTTCACGCCGCGTGACCTTCAAGAGGACACGCGGGGTGCACCGTCGCGCAATACACTTGCGGTGCCGCATTGGCTGGAACGGCTCGTAGCTTCCACTGCAGTTCGTCATAAAGCGAAACGAGGTACGCGTACCGACCGAAGCACTTGCCATTGGGCGCCATACGTGGCTCTTTTGTGGCGTCGTGCTGGCTGTCGTCTAGACTCGTTTTTACCGGAAAAAACTAATTCAAAGCTGCAAAATGTACGCCGTGCAAGGCACGCGCAAGGCCACCACGATTGCAGCCCACACCCGGCCTCCCTAAACCCATATATTGGGAGTGTTTGGCCATTAGCTTGTTTGAATAGGCAAGCATCTTGTGGCCAACCACAGGCTGCGAAACAGCCCCTAGTGGTGGTCGTGAGCACTAAAAATGTGACTAGACTAATTTAAGCCGTTTTAGTGTGGCTAGAGTAAAAATGTGTAACTCTTGGTGACTGAAAACTTGGCGCAAGTGAGGTTTTCGTCGCCTCCATGTTCAACGGTAGAATAAACAAACGTGTGCTCCAAACGAGAACAAACTGCGGCATAGTTGCGATCATTGTTGCTGCGAGATTGAACGCTTTTATTTCCCGCATTAAATCTAGTTTTTGATATTATGACGTCGAGGTCTGCCAATTGGTGAACACTCTGTCGCACTTTCAGTTTACGCTCTAACCGCGGAGAGAATATTCGGCGCTGGCGGCGGCCGTTGCGTCGCCCATTGGCCAAACTCTCCCAATAGACGGCTGTGGACCTCCCCGACCCTCGACAGGTGGCATGGCGGCGAGGCGACCCGGCGGGGGCTCGTTCCATGCGGTGAACGGAGGCGAGGCGTACCGGTGCGGCTCGTGCAGCTACGTGACCCAGCGCAGGGGAAACATGGTGACCCACCAGCGCACCCACACCGGGGAGCGCCCCTTCAGCTGCCCCCACTGCCCCTCCGAGTTTGCCGTCAAGTGCACCCTCAAGCGGCACCTGCTGACCCACTCGGCCCAGCGGGCCTTCGCCTGCTCCCTGTGCCTGGACAGTTTCCCCTCCCGGGAAGAGCTGGCCCGCCACGCTCAGGGCCACGCGGGGCAGCGCCACTTCCAGTGCCAGTTCTGCCCCCGCAGCTTCGGCCGCAGGGACGGCCTGCTCGCCCACCACTGCTCCCATGCCGGCCGGAGGGTGCACCGCTGCGGCCGCTGCAGCAGGCTCTTCAGCCGCAACGACGACCTGGTGGCGCACCTGGCCACCCACGCGGAGCGGCCCTGAGTGCATTCCTTGGAACCTGTCCGTCTGGCGTCCAAAGCGATCCCCAAATGGCAACCAGCCGCGTCGCGGGCCAGTCACGCCGTCGGCTGTCGCTGTCCCCGGTGGTCCCTCCTAGAAGTTTCGGTACGGCGTCTGGTACGCGTCTCCAATGGTGTCTTAAAAGGCTGCTCTCTCCACTTCCACCAGGCAATGTCGTAGAAGCGTTGCGTCGCCGTCGGCTGCAATCCCGGTAGATGTGGCAGACGCCTGTTCTGCTTCCAGTTGCCCTCCCGCTCGACATTCCGCCGAACACATCGGTCCGAGACACGTTTTAGGTTATGGCAAAAAGCTCGAGCAAACGCGAGTGTCGCCGTCGTTGCAACGTACCAACTCTCGGCTGCCGTATATTCCGCGGACGGTCGAACCAAAGAACGACCCGAAACGTACGCTTTAAGTGTACGCGTCTGTTTTGTAGAGGTACAAGACTCGTACGCTTTACTGCGTGGACTTGGGTTTAGTCGCGCAGCCCGAACGACGACAGAATGGCCGCGACGCACTGGACAGGCACGCTCGGCTTTGTGGGTGGGAGGACGTCGTTCCACTTGGGCTCCACCGTGCAATCTTTTGCCGGGAACGACTGCAGCATTGGGTCGTAAGTGTGCCTGGCCTAAGCGGGTGCGCAATGCCCCGTGCCGACAAATAAAAGATGTAAGCCCCCTTACGCCTAATTTATCGAATGTGCCATAGCATTTTTTGTAGGACCGAGTTGTTGCAATATCGAACAAACATGCTGGCGACATACATGAATTGAACCTGGAACTGCATTTCACTAGAGCGAATGTATCGCCTCGCTGATTCTCCAAGGAGTGTGTGAGCATTCTGCATGGTGGTTATATATAACAAAGCACGGTGAATGCAGCTTCTCTGCACTTTCCACAGGGTTAAAGGAGCTGTGCAACGATATTCAGTTGGAATGTTTTTCACTATACACGAGCTTCCTGGCACCAGTGAGACTCGAGGATACTCGCACGCAACGCCACTGGCCAAGAAACGCCTTTGTTACGGTGAAATTTCAAGGACAAAAGCAATTATTTTCGTTCAATCTCTCCGCAAAATTTGATGACGTAACGTGGGGATCGCAGAACACCCAAGTGACGATATTTGAATGCGGTTCATGGATTGGACCCGAGCCCTGCGTGGGCACTCGATTTGGGCTCGTGATAATTACTAGCTCGAGAAGCATTCGGGTAGTCGCCCACGTCCAATCGCTGCAACGACAACAATAGCCGAGCCATAACAATGTCTGGAACTCGGTGTGTGTCCTGTGCTTTGCCAAACCCAGCACGTGGCTATAATCAACACTATAATCGGCTCCAGATCGTGTGGCCGCTTGTTCTGGCTGCGAGTTGAGGGGGTGAACGCTGCTCGTTTTTCTTTAATTTTTTTCTGGGACTTCTATTGCGTGGGGTGAAAAACGAATGCGTGTTTCATAAGTCATTAACGTTAGGGATCCGTTTTAAGCGGTATTTGCGCAAAGTACAAAAATTGTTGCATCGCTCCTTTAAGGGGAATTCACCCGCTCGTCACTCAATGGGCAACTTCTGCTACACAAATCTGAGCTTCAGGAATGCACGAGAGTATTCATTCTTTTGGGTGTTAATTATGAAGAAGTAATGAAGGTCGTACGGCCCTCGGAGTTTTCCTTGAGAGCTTAAAATCCAAAAATATGACTGTTTTGAGGCATTCTTGGAAATAAAATTATTTAGAAAGCAAACGTGACAAAATGCTTGTCCCTACGTGCTAGGGGTGCCTCTAATCTTAATTTTAAGACCATAACGAGAAAACTGAATGTTGTATTTACAGATTTGTGTAAATAAATTTGCCCCGTTTATTTTATTTTTGACGTGTTAAACAATATGGCGACACTAGTGCTAAATGCCTCAAGCCCACGGTGGAAGAAACATTCGGGTGATGACTCTCACTAACGTTACTCTCTCTCTCCGTCCGACGCGGCCACTTGGTTTGCCAAGCGTTTCACTCGAACGGGGATAGATGGCGCCCAAGTACCGGGTACCTTAGGGTCTCTTAGGGAGGCTACTTTGATGTTTAACTTTAATGAGTTGTGTGGAAACCGACATCAAGGACTTGGCTGCTACAACAGACATTCTCATCATGGGGGATTTCAATGGACACCTGCGTGAACTGGACGGATGGGAGGACGAAAATGGGCGAGCGATGCTGCGGATGGCCGAAGCTAACGCCCCGGAGATACTAAATCTCAGAGCCTCATGCGAGGGACAGTATACATGGAGTGCCCGGGAGAGCAAAACATGCATTGATTACGTCTCACAGAATCTGGCACGTTCTGGTTCACGCACACATTGATGAAGCTGGTGAACACAGTATTGGGAGTAACCACAGCCGGATACGGTTAGAATTCTCCAAAGCTACACCAAAAATAATAAGACGAGCCCTCTCCGACAGGCCATTCCCAGCTATCTCCAACGGCAGTGTAGAAGGTGGTGGAGGAGTTTGAAAACAGCACCAAGTGAAAGAGCGTGGCTGCATTCTACAAAGGATCGAGGTGGGCGACGACTAAGAAAGTGTTGGTGGGACGCGGAAGTTCAAGCCGCCATCAGACTAAGACAGGAGCTAAACAGAGGGCACCACATGGTTCTCCATGGCGGCCCGGCAGGCGCTATTGTAGTAAGGTGGCAAAGGTACAAGTTGCAAAAGCAGGCTGTAAAACAGCTTGTGCAGGACAAAATGGCCCAGGCTGATGTAGCCACAATGAGAGACATCAGTTCAAGTGTCCGAGACGCACCCGGAAAGTTCTGGCGATATATCGGAACTCTCAATGGAAGAGACTAGTGCCTAGCAATCCTGGACGAAGACACAGGGCTGCCCACTGAGAGACGTGGGCAATGCCTTACGGACCATCTCGTTGAAATTTTCTCACCTCCAGGAGAGAGACCACTACAAAATCTGCGCCCGAAGCAAGGCGCAGACTGCGCACCAGATTGCAATAATGTAACAATTGGTAGGATGTCAGTTATACACGCACTAGCGCGTACAACTAATATTAAGTACAACACTGCCCAGGGATTAGATAACATTCCGGCAAGTGTGCTCAAAGCACTGGGCAAGGATTCCAGGGATGAACCCGAAAAAAGTTTTTATGATATTGCATCTGAGACAGAGGAGATTCCTCAAGACTGGCGACGCGGAGGGTCGTCCTGATTTGTAAAAAAAGGATGTGATCGTCAGTACCTTCAACAGCACAGACCCCTGACTGTGACAAGCATGGTGTATAGGGCATTTGCCCACACCATAAAAAAGCGTATGACCGCATGAGCAGAGGAGGAGGGTATACTGACAGAAATCTAAGGAGGCTTCCGACGGGGACGCCGATTAGAGGACCATCTTTTTACCTTAACACAATGCGTTAAGGTTGCACGGAAAGAGGAGAGGAGCCCAATATGTTGTTTCCTTGACATCGCAAAGGCCTATGATAGTGTTTCCCACGCCCAGCTTATTGTTAGCCTACAACAGCTTGACGTGCTGCCAGAGTGGATAACACTCATCTCCCGCCTATACCTTGGCAACACGGTTATGACCCACCTTGATGATGCTCACTCTGAGAAGGTGCTGGCGACGAGGGGCTTACGTCAAGGTTGCCCACTTTCTCCCCCATTGTATATGCTGTATGTATTTACCCTAGAGAAGCAACTTATACATTCGGGACTGGACTTTTCGCTAGCACATTTGGAGCATGGGGATCGAGTTGACTGGGGACTACCGGGGTTGACGTACGCGGACCATGTGGTACTGACCGCAGGTACAGTGTTTGAACTGCAAAATCTTCTTGACATATGCTCCAAGGAGGCTATGGACCAACACGCGGCCCTGACGTCGCGCAGCTGCGGTGGCGCTGTCAACGGCACGGCGCATGCGCAGAAGTTTCACTTCATGCAAACCTGGTTTCTGCGCACGCGCAGTGCCCACATCTGGTGTGGGCAGACGCGCGCTTGTCGGTCTATAGACCGACACACTGTTTACAAAAAAGCCCGCGTTTGCCCACAACAGGTGTGGGCACTGCGCGTGCGCAGAAAAACCGAATTCGAGTGAACTGAAGCTTCTGCGCATGCGCAGTGCCGTCGACAGCGCCACCGCAGCTGCATGACGTCAGGGACGCGTGTTGGTCTATAGGACTTTGTTTAAAATTTAACACCAGCAAGTTGGCGGCGGTGGTGTTTTCGGGCTCCCTCGACACAACTCTCGATAGCCTTCTCCTCGGAGGGTGCGATGTACCAATTCTCAATTGTTACAAGTACTTGGGCATCACAATGTCAAATGACACAGACTACCTGCAAGGCCATCACACACATCTCTGCCAAGCAGCCCTACGAAGAGCCAGCATTCTCCGTAAGCGAAGCCTCTGGAGTTGCAACAGGTTCATCGTTTCGCGGGAATTGTGGAAAGCAGTAATGGTACCCGGACTAACATTTGCAAATGCAGTGGTGTGTGTCCCAGGAGATGTCCGTATGGAGCGTAGGCAGAGAGACGTTGGACGCCAGGCACTGGGCTGCCATGGAGCGGTCGCCAACGAGGCAGTGCAGGGTGACCTAGGCTGGTCCTCTTTTGTGGGGTAAACGATGAAATGGTGGAGCACGTCGTGCTAGACTGCGCGAGACTCGAGCCGTCCCAGTCACAGGACAATGGCCCAAGACTTCCGAAACCCTTAGCGCTCGCTGAAGCGTTGGGCTTCACTGACAGTGAAATCGGACAATTCACAGCAGTCTGCTCAGCTACGGGGCTGAAGGTAGCCTCCAGCGACACAAAAAGGCTTGTTGCAGACACAAAGAGGAGACTGAAGGACTGGTGGCAGAAGATCCACCTCAGTGAGCATTAAAGGGGTACTCCACCGGTTTTTTCATTGTCTCCGATTTGCTTGAAATTTTGCTAAACTAACCAACAAACATTGCTAAAATAGTATCCCAAATATTGGGTCAAAATATTGTTTTTTCGCAAAGTTATTGAATTTACAGTTTTGGTCTTCACCATGTTTTTTCAAACTGAAAGTCTCTACTGGCAACAACAACAAAGTTACGTCAGTGGAAGGCAGGGGCAACGTACTATAATAATTATAGGTTACCTCAGTTGTGGAACTCAAGCAGAAGGGGGTACCCCCCCTCACTCACTTCAATCCGCCAAGTGTCGTTCAAAGCGCCATCTAGATTTTTGTCTCATAACTGTGCGTTCCAAAGAGCAGAGATGAAGCGCCATCTAGACGCCGTGCTTCGAAACGTACGTAGCGACCGCAGGGGGGGGGGAAGGAGGGAAAGGGAACGCGGCGCAAAGCGGGGGCTGCCATGTTAAAACCGCTTACGTTGCCAGCATAGGTTTTGCAGCGGAGAAGTTGCTGCCAAATACGGCGGACTGAGTTTTACTTTTTTTTTCGTTTTGGAACGAAAATGTATTGTTGTGTTACATAAGTCCTCCTGCATACAGACAACGAAGTTGAATTATATTTGTCTTGTTTGCTTGGTTTGAAACCCTAGAAACGGATTTTTGACGACTTATTATTGCTTTCATCATTTTGGAGTACGCAAGGCAGTTATCTCGCTGTTCTGGTTTCGGTTACGAAAGCAAGGCAAAACGCTCGTAGTTCCCGCCCTCAATACACGTTGGAGACCTTCCACACTTTGACACCGGATAACTGTATG